CCTAACCCTAACCCTAACCCTAACCCTAACCCTAACCCTAACCCTAACCCTAACCCTAACCCTAACCCTAACCCTAACCCTAACCCTAACCCTAGAACCTTAACTCGAAGTTGTGACCCTAAACCCTAATTTTATGAGGGGTTTCGAAGGTTTCGACTCGAACCCTTTGTCTTCTATTACTAGATGGAACAAGGACAGATAGGGACAAAGAAGGAAGAACCAATAGGAGACGGCTTATAGGTTTGCTGTAGAACCAAGTAGCCTGATCAATTAAATCAATCAATCAATCGATTATGGGTAGATCTGTTGGCTACGAGTTATCTATACGTTACTACATACTATTCCGTTTACATTTACGCTTGGGTGCAAGCTAGGAATTGTCCTCCGGAGGCCCCTTCATGGGTGATTAGACCACAAAAGGTAGATATAGGGTTACTCTCCACGCCACTATAATCGGCAGTATTGTGCAGATAGACAATCCGATGGTCTCCTGTGTTCCGATTATTTTTGCCACCATTATAATATGTGGTCCCAGCAATAATAGGATACTCCTTCATGTTTACATCCTCTGCTACGCATTTGGAGGAAAGGGCAACGCCCTCATAGTTGTTAAATTGATGCTGGTAACTCTCTTCTAGAAGGGCTTAGTTTTTCATTTGCTACGGTGTTAGGGATGAGACTTACTACCCCTTGTCATGCCAGCGTTCTCAAGCAGAGTTCCGTACTGAGCCGCCTGGTAGATCGATTTGGAATCGAACGTGGTACTACCTATAAACAATGTTAGATCGAATGACTTGACCATAGTTCTATGGATACATACCACACTTCCAGGATACAGATGGGCCATCAGTAAGGTCAACAGGAACCAGAGAAGGGTCGTCGCGGCGATCTAGCTCCAAGATCGTAGGAGCACCGACGGCACTGCCAACGAGCAAAAGAATCTCGAGGCAAGATCTCATGGCGTAAATGATATAATAGGGTGATTACTGTAGCAAAGAATCCGATTTTACAAAACTATTCCAGAAAAAGATATGGTTATAAGCAAGTAGGGCAGCGAGAAGACCTTAAATATTTTCAGTAATAGCAGGACCTTAGAGGTTTGTGTCGATCTCATCAGACACTAGAGAATATTGTATCCTGTTTGCTCTGAAGGATTGTTCCCAAGTAGCATGATATCACAAGGATCAGAGTATTGGGTTCCGACAGATAGAGACTAGCTTCTCATTTAAGGGATGGTATTGGAAGTAGGAAAGGCCGACTACGTCGGTCGATTAACTGATCCACTTAAGAGGCGAAGGATGCATTGAATCCCAACACGGCCTGATTGTCCGCTATTGTTATAATGATAGATTGTACGGTGTAGACAGAACTCAACAGATAAAGAATAGCGCTAGGGATAAGACTTAGAGATAGACACATATCGTTCATGTTTGCGGCTCACAGCTGCGATTATGTGCGAGGTAGATTCCACACATGACAAGAAGGGATCAAACAGATCAAAAAAATCTGTAAGGGCGATCTGACTTTTCTCTAACTGTATCTCAACCAACCAAATGGTACCGCGCATTATCCGGAGCGAGTCTTGGATGCATAGAAGGATCAGTTACACGTTAGCAGATCCGCAGATCCTGAAGATTACGGCCGAAGTGAACGTCACCGCCGTCGAACTCCATAAGAGTGGTTTCTTGGTTAGCGTTGGTCTTGAGACTTAATGGATCCATCGCTTTGAATCGAGGGATCACACGATGTGCAACCTTCTCTAGTCAGCCAAGTCGTCTGCAAGTGGGGTGTGGTCCAATTAGGTCTTTAGTGCCAAGATGCTCCGCAAATGCTGCTAGGAAATGGTGCGTGCCATGATTTAATTTGCGCTATGGCAGTAGTAACATATCGACAGACTTGGCTCTATATCGACTAGTCTTATATGCACAATGATCTAGGTTAGCCAGCTAACGCCCATGACGTGCGGCATACCCTTAATAGGTGCAGAACGATCGGTAAGGCTGGGTGAGTCCTATGACATCATCGTAACGTGAACTAAAAGACTGCTCTGTACCTCTGCCGATGTGAGTGATAATAGTTATTCTGGATGTTTCCCAACTACTTCCCCAACTGCTTTTTGAAAAATCCAAGCCTACAACTTCCACCTGCCTCCTATCTGTTCTGGTTCATCACATCCCGATCTTTCGTTGAAACAGTAGCCATGTCACTAGCTTGGTACGACGAAGCTGTTGCACCGGATGGGGATTCTGAAGACGGGTGCCGCCCAGAGGAAGCTCAAGCCTTGAGGATGTATCTTGACGACAAGATAGAGGTGAAGGAAGCTGCGCGGCTGATTACGAAGCCGACCGAGTCCTCTCAAAATCCAGGAGCTGGCCTGCCGAACCTATGGGGTCTCTTACAGGATGCCTTAATCGAATTACCAAACTCTCAATCAAAAATTGTTCATCTGCTCCAGACTATACGAGAGCTGCCCAACTTTGATCTGGATTTGCTTTGCAAAGAGCGTAGCGGTCCTCTTGAAAATCCCAACAGCTCCCTCTGGCAAAAGCTTCCTTCGTTCGCAAATCAGTGGTACGATACCAATTGGTGGTACTATCAAAACCAATGGCGAGACAAACCAAGCCTCTTTGAGTCCGTGGATAAAGTCAATCAAATCGCCAATCTGGCTCGTAGCGAAGCGCTCCTTGCACAGACCGACATCTTAGGAGAAATGGCTCGATACGAAGGCCTGTCTCGACTTTGCGATACCCTTGAAGACAGCACAGCTATCCTCGAGATAGAACTTTATGCCGTGAGAGAATGGCTGCTGAATGCGCAAGATCTACTTCGCGATATGTCACAAACTCCCCGCATGCACTATCTCTTATATTCCAATCTTGACTTTACAGAGAAGATTGCAAAGAAAGAGATGCATCCAGCTGTTAAGAACAAACGTAGTCTTTGGAAAGGACCTGGAGGCACAAGCCCTAAAAGGTGGAGCTTTTGGAAAGAGCGCTTGCAATATCTTGAGGGTCATGCTATCTTGGATGAAGCTACTAAGAAAGTCGCAAGAGAAGCTTTAGCTGCTATGAGATAGCTAGAGACTTGTATGGCGAGAAGAAGCAAGAAGCAAGAAGCAATCCCGCATGTGAGAATTAAACACATCTATGTGGTACAATTCGTAGAAGAAATTGAGAAGTCAGATTAGCTAAAGCAAAAGTCGGTTTGAATTATAGGTTTTACTCACAAATCTTGAGCTTCTAAGGGCCTGCTTGCACTTTAGGTAGACATAAAGACGTCATATAAAATGGGATACACAGGCTTCTCGTTTTAGCTGCATTTCCTATAAAAGTTACAAGCAGCTGCTATGGTAGATCAAATGGTTCGACCTTTGCTTATACTTTAGGCTCTTAGAGTATATATATTCTTGCTTACAAGGAGATCTATTCCTTATCCGACTACCGCAGTAATCTGCTGACCCTTTCATAAGAAGTAGACGAACCCCATCATATGGCAAAGGTCCTCGCCATGTCCTGTTAGCCACATCGTCAGGGATGCTTGCTTCGATGATCTTACCGACACATTGGTTGCCGATCAAGTACATACTGTCTAAGGAGTGACGAAGCGTGCTCTCACGATGGGAGCGCAGAAGAAGAAACCCTAATCTGCAGCCGAGCACAAGAGATTCTTTCCAACTCAGTGTATGTCAACAGTCGTCTTCACGCAGTCGCCTCACATGCATCAGGCTTTTGCGGTACCTGTTAGTAGGGATATACCAGTACGTCTCCGGCTCGACAGACTCAGTGATCCTGTGGGTCTTGTGGCATGCTGTCGATATGCTGCGCATGTATGGAGGGCTCGATCAACAACAGGTAGACTCGTCAGAATCCCACCATGGTAGCCCGCGGAACGATAGCCTCGGTCGAATGACGATCCACTGCGGGAGGTTGATCTCTCCATGATAACGAGGTTTGGCTAAAGCAATGACGCATCTCGTCGACGAAGGAGATCACACTAGTAGCTCTACTCGACGTATATGTGTCTCGCGAGAACTGCTCAATCTACCAAGCAATGCTATCATTCATAGAGACTAGTACTACAATGCTTACATGTGCATGCCTACGGAGCAGGGATCAGACGATCACAACTTCGTCAATCGAACGCAAACTCTACAATTGTCTTGGAGATATGGCAGGTCACCATTAAAGTGCTTCATTTGATCACACTGGTACGCTCTTCGAGGAGGAGCCAACTAGTGCGCATGACCCACATGATCCTTATACTAAGTGCTTCTTTTTTCTTATCTAAGGCAGCACCCCGAGAAGTTACTTGTAGAACTTTTTACATGACATACGAGTCACTCGGTATAGTCAGTCTATGAGCGACAAGGAATCAGCGTATGGATGGGATATATACAACTGCCAAAACGGCCAGGGAAAAAGGAAAGCGATAGTCCTGTAGGAGGATTTTCGCCCAGCACTACTACTGTCTTGGCTGGACTGCAGAGCACTTGGCGATGACTCGCGTAGACTGCAACCTGATAAATGGCGGTTGTTTGCAGGGCGAATTCGAATGACGTAATTTCTTGAGTCAGCCACCAAGCATGTTAATAACTGCTTGTGTGCTCCCATCAGTTTACTTTTCGTCTTTCACAACACTACCCAAGTTCATGTATCAAGAGCAGACCCATCTCTGTCACAAGGTATAGCTACCTCAACACTACTGCTACAACTTGAGGATGGTGAGAATAATCCCGAATACGTCAAAGTCATATTCATTACTCTTATCAAACTTATCGACTACAAAGAAGAAGGCATCGTAAGTATATTTTATACAAGAAGTGTGATCGGAAATGTTGCTAATTATCTTCTATAGGAGCCTGATATAGCTGCATACAAAGCCGCTAGGACGATTAATGCACTACGTCCGGATAATCATCCCAAGGATTCAGACCAGAATAAACTTCCCCCATACAACTTTTTATATAGGGTATGGAGTACAATTTTCAGTGTTGTTAGACAAGCACAGCCTGACCACGCCATTCAGATGATTGTAAATCTGGTAGCTAAAATGAAGAAGCTCGATGTGATAACACTCCATATCTGGGGGCAAGATATAAGGCTCTGGATAGAACTTGATCCCAGAACTCTAGGCAAGGCTAATCAGCCCGGCCGAATCAATTAGAAAACAAATTAATTCATAAGCTTTCCTCTTGCGTAGAAGCGTCTCTGTAAATACTTCCAGTGGTCTAAGATTCACCGACAAAGATAGTGATGGACTGGTCTCGTAGCTCAAGAAATGCAAAAGTTTTCTGTGTGTACACTGCTGTACTAGTATGCTATATGGGTATCCTGAATGCAACAGCAGGCGCGTAGTTGCAGAGGCAATTCTTGGCGAACTTTAGACCTACGATAGCAAAGTGCAGACTGCAATATCTTCCCACCTAAAGGTTTAATGAAGTTTCCAAATGATGCGAAAGTTGTCGTAGTGTATGAGCTGTAAATGGTTAGTGCTACATAAGTATTTGACTGTGTTTAGGTTAGATAGATAATGGGTCCTTGAGGGGGTCTTTCAAGTAGAGATTACCATCTTAGGCGTACTAAGCAATCCCGCCATACCGCATTCGGGGAATCTTTCAGTAAAAGACCCAGCTATCTACTAGGGTGCGGATACATTGATTACTGCTCAACAGTTGATACGCCTCACTAGCTTGGTCAACACGCCGTTCCCGCATTTGAAAAGCCTAGAGTTGTGTTGGGAAGCAGACACACTCCTCTGGATTCCACAGTGCTTTCCTGCCGTAACGTGGTTGCAATTCAACAAAACATCACAGCGCAGAGACGGATCTATACTCGAACAGATCGCGAGCGTGTCTCAACTACAAATCGCACACAGAAGGGTGCAGAAGGCGACCGCCTCATGCAGTGGCCTCTGTGGGGATCCTGGTTCTTGACGGAATCCTCAGAGTGGGATACCGCATTCGGTAATGATTGTCGTGAAAACCATACGCTCAACTCAGCTCATGCACACGAGTGGCAAGCTGAAAAACGGCTAGCACAATCAATAGCTAAGTACAACTGGGTAAATGTTGGATCAAGTCGGCTTGCATAGAGTTCGAGCAGATAGAGGTGAACTCGTCTAAAAACTTTGTTGAACCATCCGCATGTCTCAATCCAGAGGACGGCCATTCTTCCCGGACAAGAAAAGCGCCAAGCGGTCTCGCACGAAATGACAGATCGTACAATGTCTCATGAAGTCAATCGCTAGACACTCTTCGAAGCATACAAGATATCTTCCTAGGATGCCTCAAGACCTGATTTCACCAGTCAAATTGAATATGTTCCCAGCTTTGCTATGAATGCTGATGAGATATAGTGGTAAAGCGACCGCATTACGGATGAGATCATCTCAATCTCGACCGTCACCTCGGAATCCTAGCGTATCAGGAGTGACCGTTGTGTCCCGACTCACAGGTTCATTTTGGCGGTGCCATTGGTGTGAAGAGAAAGAACGCTGGCGCCTTTGCACATATGTCCTGGACACTATATAGGAGGATACCGCCTCTACAAAGTCACTAGTCTGAGAGTGAACGACGCTACTGATCCATTGAATTAGCTCCAACTTGATTCTGGCAGCCATCACGACTGCGCTCGCTTAGCAGGCTCGAAATAATATGTGCATCGTCTTTGTGTCTCAACTTCTCTTTCGAAAGCATAACCCATTTAATGATCGCCGTTTAGCTGGCACAAAGTGGAAACACAATAAAGAGCGTGATTCGATGCAAGGATCAATAGTTGGGTTCACTTCAGCTCCATAATCTCTCAAGCGTTTTCTGCAGGTCAAATTATGCAGATTGTCACCCCCTATCCCTTAGTGTGGACGGTAAGATCGAATCGCGCTTGTACTGACCATGGACGCTTTGGCTGAAGAGCATATATAAACTCTAACCATTCCACGTTCCGATTTTCATTAATCTACCTCACGCATACTCACTTTAATTCAAGATCATCACGATGTGCTCAATCGTTTCTGACGCAATCAAGAACTTCGAGAATCAAGGCGAGAAAGAGAAACTTGCTAACGATGCTCTTGATATGATGATGGAGCTTGCTGAACAGCAGATGGCAGCTTCTAAGCTCAAAGTAACGTCAGTGACCTTTTGCTCAGCATGCCATAATTTGCTGATCGGCGGTATTTGCAGAAACGGTAACGTCGACACGAAGCATATCCCTATCGGTCAGATTCTTTACGAGGACTGGCAAGTCCGTTGCACGGTCTCTACAGACGTGACTGCCATCGGCGATATCATCAAAGACTCGTACTCCGCCTTCGCAAAGGGTAACATGGCCGACGGTATCGCTAGTGTACTTGCTGGTGGTCTCAAAATCGTCATGGGTACCTACGTGGGCAACAAATCTACCAGAGAAGTCTAGTACGTCCGGCAAGCCTCAATCCTTGTCTGCGTAAGTTGACCCATAAATTCTAGCTCAATCACTACGGGCGACCTTGGTGGCTTGCAAAGAGCTGATATCAGGATCTTCGCATATCGTTTCACTGCAAGCCAGTCCTTGTTGTACAAATCCTGATGGAAATTCCCGCCCCTTCGATTCTCTGCTGCGTTGTCTTTGATCCTCAGAAGGCGCAGCATAGGTACAATATCCTCCCGCTACTCGTCTGGATTCAGTAGAAAGAGCTCTGCAAGAAGTCCTGGCCCGTACTAACCAGATCTACGACGAAAAGCTTGACTTGTGTCATAGAGAGCTCGAGCGCTTTATACGACACAGTCTCCTGTTCGTCTGACCAGCTGATGTACCCAAGACAGGTCGTGCTGTCTCGTACCTTCCTGCCATACATACTTAGTCTAGTTGCCCAGGCAAATGGTGATCTGCTCCCATGGATCAAGAACCTATCTCGCATGTCGTCAAGAAGGTCGCATGGGTCGTCTGCCTCACCCTCTGTAACTGCCAAAACAGCTCTCTGCGCAACGAGCATTTGGCTAATTTTGATAAAGCGAGACAGAGTAAATCTAAAGGCGTTTGCGTCCATAAAGATGCCTTTTCTCTCATCGATCGCCATTACAGCGAAAAAACCCACGATCACACTCTCGAAGAGGTCACCCTTGAGCGTATGATCAACTAGAAATATGCAGAAAAGAAGACATTCGCGATCGAGTTCTGTCTCCACTTGCGCAACATCTTGACTCTTAGAATGGTGTCCGTTTGTCAAAGGCGTATCGACTTCCTGTACAATCGACAAAAACTTTTCTCCCTTCGCTAGGAGCCGATCAAGCAAGGCGCCTTGCTTTGGTGTAAGTTGATGTGCAAGCTCGATGCCCTGATCAACTGCTACTGTTCGACAGACAAAGCAGATCAAGCGCTTCCAAAGGCCCTTATACTGACGATAAGATGCTTTTTGTAATTTGACCATAAGTGGTCTATCAAAAGCCCGTGGACGCTGCATAAAGCTATTAATCCTTGTTTGGTCAAAGACATTAATCTTATCTTGGCAGATGGACTCATATGCTTGCTCTACCACCCGATCTAAGCTCTCTCCTAGCGGGAATAGAAGGGCCTCCTTCACAGGATCCGCAAGGTAGGCGAGCGGTGCTAGAGTAGCAAAGGCGTGACCTTTCACATATCGAATTCATCTTGTCATCTCTAACCAAGGAGAAGAATCGACTCTAGTCTGGCTTTGATCACTAATCTCTTGGCAAGAAAAGTGGTTCGCCTCCTCTTTCGATTCGAGCGTAGACAGGATGTGCGAGGAAATTGCTTCTTTTCCAGATCTCAAAGCTCTAACTTGTTCGCGAGCAAGAATTTGTTCCAGATCCAAAAACTGAGTTGCTTTGGAGTCCACTTTAAAGAATCGTATCCAGAGGGCGTTGCGAAAGAACGTCTGGCAGCAACAAAGACTTTCCCATGGGACGATCCAAGTCTGTGCTGCTTTTACACGTACATTGCCATCTCTTTTGTTCGGATTCACCCACTTGTGGACAGATTTGCAATGCTCTTGCATTCCAGCAACCGACCTGCATATGTAACCACACTGCTGGCCAGCGCTGTCGTAGCTTGTACATATTAGTCCGTCATAATATGTTCTAAAGTCCTTAATAGGTTCTGCATCTAGATCTGGATATACAACTTCCTGGACGGTTCGGGAGACGGAATTGCCTAGATTATCGATGACAGACTGGATTCCTTTGATCGATTGACTGCTAACAGGAGAATGCTTGTCTGCAAACGGCTTTTAACAGCGTGTGGGGGGACTACAAACTGACACGATCTCCAGATTATGATTTTGTATTGTGGCAGATGGGTAAGATAAGCATCGAATTCGTCTGTAGGGAAGAACATAATTGACAAGTGATGCAAAGAGGCGTTCCAGAGATAGACTCAGATTGATATAAGGTAGCAAGGCCGGCATATACAAAAGATAGCTCGAGGTGAGGCAAGAAATGTCTGAGGACTGTAGAACGCGTGGTAGTCAGGACGGGCAGCGCGCCGAATAGCGCGTCGACCAGCGCGTCGGCTCAAATGCTCCCGGCGGATCTCTAAATGCCCGTACTCTATCATGCTAGAAGCTGCGCGATGTTTCGTTGTTAATGATCAGGTAGACGGTTGAGATTGGTGTTTGGATATAGACAATTAGGAATTATGGTTTAATTAACATACAGAAAAGATATATGGATATACGGATGTTCTAAGATTGTGTGCAAATAAAAGGTCTGACGTTGCGGCAGAACTCCGGAGGGAGGGTCAGAATGTTTGAAAGGTCGGTTTGTTCGTCGCATGGAAGTGAGATTACTCCAAGTCTGTTGCTGTGCGCTCCTGTCCCTTGTCCCAATGTGCTGCTGCTGCGCGCGCCAATCTCACGTCGCTGCTTTATGATGAATAATAAGGATCTGGTCTGTCTGTAAACCCATCGATCATGTACTCATACCGCATCTATACTACAGCGGAGATAAGACCAGCGATGAAGGAGGCGGCAGGAAAAAGGTGAGGAGATCTCTCATACCTGCTAGGAGGCTATAGCAAGAAGAGAGAGCTACGCACGGGGAAGTCAGCGGATGGCCCGATGGAGAAATGGGCGCCAAATTTGGAAATGGTGAAGATAACGATCCAGTTCCGTCAACAGACAACGAGGATGGGGGCTACGCCACTACAAGGGCAGAGCGAGGAAGGACAGGGATAGGGTAGTCTTGAATTTTCCTTGTTCTTTTTCACCAGATCGGACTTGAGATTAAGCAACGGCCGCAGTGGTTAAGCAACGTTCAGGATAGCTCATACAGCCGACAAGACTGTAAATAGCTTACAAGAATCAACGAATCAACCAACCAATCTATTAGCTAGAGGGAGCTAGAACGGAATAAGGACAGATAGGGACAAAGAAGGAAGAGCCAGAAGGAGACGGCTGAAAGGTTTGCTGTAGAACGAAGTAGCCTAATCGATTGGATCGATCGATCAATTGATCAATCAATCAATCTAGTAGTAGAACGGCTCTAAGCACATCTTCTGTCAGATCCTAATAGCAACAACCACAAGCTTCAGCACACTTGCAACGTTCCTATGGCCTGTATTAGTCTATCTTTCTTTGTGTTTTGCAAATTCTCTACGTACTCCAGGGCTAGCGCAGCTCAATGGGTTAGTGGCTGGCGTGGGGCCTTGACAGCAGAGATAATAGCAGAAGCTCGAACTATAGCAATTTTTACCAGGGCCTGAAATTAGAGTACCAAAGTAAGTATCTCTCAAATGAACTGAATGGTAATGGACATGTACGTACATTTTGGCTGAGGATATACGCCAGGAACACATTCGCCTGCATCGATCTTTTGGATCTCCGGGGCATTTTGGAGACACTAGAAGTGATAAGCTAAATCTAAGCCATTAAGCTAAGCACCGTACATTGTTGTCGACTCCTGGCGGGGCACAATCCATATTTTCAGGCCCACAGCAAGTATTCTGCGTGAAAGCACCAGTAATAAAGCCTAAAGCCAAAACGGAAAGGGCTATAAGCTTCATGTTGGATACTGTGAGTAGCGTTGGGGGATATCGATGTTCCGGACTTTGAGAAGAATCGAAAACGAAGGAGGTATAGAGTAACGACGCCATTATATATAGGCAATCGATGTCTAAGGTCGATGTCTTGAAAAGACGAAGTCTGCTAAGCGCCGGATCCTACGGGGTGGAGGGTGCTATGCCCCATTGCAACCTCACAATCTTCGCGCGAACTTTCTTTACGACCGTAAGCTAGTGCATGCATGATTGGAAAGGATTTCAAGATCTGCAGCGAAGGATTGCTGGATCCACATTGACATCGCTTCTTGGAGTGCCCGCGGTTGTAGAATGACGCACACACACAAGACTGACAATTTGCGAGTGAAACAGGCCCCTCCAACGCGTCTTCAGAATGTCCTCCTCATCTACCACGGCTCGCTCTGTCTCAAGCCCATAAGATCTACAACATGAATTTTCATCTCTGTTTCTTCTTCAACCTCTTGCACTATCTGCGTCTGACCCAGGCCTTAGATGTTCTCAATTTGAGCGGTGCAGAACTTCGCGACTTTACCGAAAGCTACCATGGCAGCATTTTTGTAGAATTCTGGGCCTCTCCATGCCTTGCGTGCGACTACCTGGACCCTGTCTTGGAACAAACCGTGCATCTCGTCTCTGATGACAACATCCTCATAGTCAAGGTACAATGCGACAACAGCAACGAAGACAGAGACATGTGCCGTAGTTACGGCGTTACGTCGAAACCTACCCTTATGGTTTTCAATGGCCCACATCAATATCAGACATACGTCGGGAGACAGCGGGCAAACAGGTAGAAGATGAACACTCTGGCAGATTGTCTCAAGCTAACTCTCATAGCATATCCTGGTTTATGAAAAGACTGAATCGCCCATCGGTCATTGAGATAACCAAAGAGAACATCGACCATGTCAAAATGAGTGGCGATCTTGCTGTGATCGGTTTTGTCGATGATCTTGACACAGAGGCAAAATCCGAGTTTCTGTCCACAGCTGAGAGCCTTCATGGCATTCATGCGTTCGGAATCAGCAGCAGCAGGGATCTCGCGTCTTCTGAAAATGCGTCGTTCCCTGGTGTCATGGTCTACAATCGTGACAGCGATAGCGCGATCAGCTTCCCAACCTCCATGACTCTCACTGGGCAAAGCTTAGGCCAGTTCTTGGAAGCTCAAAACCACCCACTTATTAGGGAGATCGATTTCGACACCTTCGATGATTATCGCAAGGTACGCAAGCAGTTCGATCAGATAATTCTGAAGTCCCATCAGTAGCCATGTTAACTCATATGCAGTCTGCGCCCGTCCTCGGATTGATCTTTGTACAGACGAAAGCAGAACGTTTGCATTTTACCAATTCTCTGCAGGATGTGGCCAGGAGATATCAAGGTCGGATCACGTTCGGCACAGTTGATGCAGACCAATTTGGAGCTGCTTCAGTAAAGCTTGGTCTGACCTATGGAAAATGGCCTGCCTTTGCAGTCGAGAACATCCTGGATGACGCTGTTTACCCGCTCGATCAACAAATCGTCATGACTGTGCCGGCGATTGAGGCATTTGTCCTCAGCTTGGTAGAAGACAGCTCTATATCTGATGGGAAAGGGGCCGAATCGATCGTTAAGTCCACAAGACAGGGAGAAGGTCACACGGAGTTGTAGTGAAGACCTCTGCTAGCGCGAGCGCGAACGTTCACATATGCATATCTTGTTCATTCTAGTATCTCTAGTCGATGGGGTTGAACATACACTTACTAGTCTAAAGTGCGGAAAAGGATACAGCACAGAGTGGTACGCAAATGTGTTTAATCTCTGGCGAGGCTTGACAGAATCATCACTATTCATTGTATATGTTTACACATCACCACTATTCATTGTATATGTTTGCACATCACCACTTACGGTATCTGTCAGAACTTGATCTGAGGCAAAAAAATGATGACGATGTTTTGGTGCAAGACGTTATCTTGGCGTACTGCTAAAGTAACTCCTACAGTATCTCCTCCTTATAACGATCACTCGTTATAACGATTGCGCTAGCACGAACCGATGAATGGTCCGTGGACACACGATATAGCGATATCAGTTCCTTTCTGAGATCAGCGGATTGCCTAAAAAGGTAATTCGATCGTTCTAAACACCTTATAACGATTGAAAAAGAGTGATTATGATGTATCGCTATAGCGAGGTGTTACTGTATTCCCTTTTGGGAACTCGTTTCTGCACGCACTATCACGCTAGCTAGTAAGTGGTAGTTATCTACGCTAGTTTGATACCTGCATAACGCGATCGGCATTTCGACGCCACACGGAGTCTCGCGGATCGTTAGTCCACCCCTGATCAAAAGGGCGTTTCTCCATCCCATGATTGGGATGAGGTTCGAACCTAAAAGCAGTCTTGGATCGGATGGCTCCAAGATCCTGACTGATTGCCGACAAAGTTAATTGCTCGACGTTTTCAGCTTTTTTTGTCTCAGCTTGTGTGTGTCTTCTTACGTCGCAAGTTGCTTCCTCGCTTTAATTTTCACCGCACCGGAGTATCAAGATCATCCATGGAACCTTTTCCTCGTCCTGAATATAAGGCTGGACCCGGATCCAAATATCAGACGATCTATAAGACATCCAGCGCTTCACTCCGTACGAGCTCAGGCACAGTTCAATCCGTTCAGAGGGATAAGGACTTATCACACGAAAGAAGGACCCCTATGTCAAGCCTAACGAGATGCGGGCTGGCAGTAGTAGCTTTGTTTACAGTCGTCGCTGGGGTCTTGCTGCTCCATAATCCGGATTTTCAAATTCAATACAAACGCCAGGTCAACAATAGTGCAAGCACTGTTATCGAGTTCGACAATTATGTCGATATTCCATCAAGCACAACATTACAATGGCACCGTTGTTTCGGCGAAGACTTTTACTGTGCGAAGCTCGAGGTTCCGATGAACCACAACCTAGCTTCTGAGGCAGATGGATCCGACTATTCAATCGTGGAACTTGCGATAATCATGGTGAGTTAGACTCAAAAGAGCATATAGACCGCATCTGGGCTAAATCAATTTTTAAGCTCCCAGGAATCAATCACACTGCAAACCGTAACTATTCTGTTGCTCCTTTGATTGTGAACCCGGGTGGGCCAGGCGGTAGTGGCGTAGAATTCATACGCAACTTGGGTCATGCAATTCAAGAAATGGCCGGTCATGATCGGGACATTGTTTCGTTTGACCCCCGCGGCGTCGGATACACAAAGCCCACTGCTGACTGCTACACATTTCCTACATCTGGCAGCTCGTCAGCTCTAGGTGACTCCGATATCATGCGTGGCCAGTTCAACAGGCTTCAGTTTGCCCTATCCAATGAAGCTGTTGGCCTTGTGAATTCGACTGAGAGTGCCCTGATGCAACGAGACAGCGCTGCACGCGCAGTCGCACAGCTTTGTAAGCAGAAAGATGACCTTGACGGAAAACGGAGCATATTACGACACCTAAATACTCAAAATGTCGCGAGAGACATGTTGTACATTGTCGACGCATGGGATGACTGGCTTGAGACGTTCAAAGCTCATACGACTCCACAGATGAATGACAAAGTCATGGAAAGGTCCAAAGGGATGCTGAGTTTTTTGGGATTCTCTTATGGTACGTCGTTGATCTTCGAGTGAATATCTCTGATCCAAAGCTAAATATTACTTAGGGACTCTACTAGGTGCGACGTTCGCTACTATGTTCCCCGACCGGATTGGGCGAATGGTGTTAGATGGTGTTGTAGACGCTGCATCATCCAACATAGCTTTCGCACCAGGGACGCTTGAGGATGCGGACACTGTGTATGACTTGTTTTTCAAGTACTGCGCAGAGGCAGGACCACGCAAATGCGCGATCGCGCGAGACGGCGATCATGCGCACGATGTTGCAAGAAGAGTGGCAGCGGCTTTACAGTCTCTACGCGAACAGTCACTTGTTGGTGTACATGCTGCTACAAAAACCCCCTCGATCATCACGTGGAGTATGCTGAAAGGCGCAATCTTCGGATCGCTTTACAGTCCTGTCACTAGCTTTCCGTTGATCGCCCAGATATACGACTACCTTCATCGCGGCGATCACAACGCGCTGCATGCCAGTATACCACAACTTCACTCAATGATTAGGCAACAATCATATTGTTTACCGCCGACTCAGCATTCCTTCGATCTTGGGGATGCGCAAAATAGTATCAGATGCTCTGACCAAAATCGTCTCAATGCTACCATACCCGAGCTCCTGCAGTCATTCGAAAGCTTGTCACGAGTCTCCTTATTCGCAGACGTCTTCATGAATGTCGGACTCCCTTGCAACGGGTGGTCGATTCCTTCGATTGACTCTCCACTAAGGATGACAGTTCCAGATGGGTGGAAGGAGACGGGCCAGACTAACACATCCTTTCCATTACTGTTTGTGAGTAATACTCACGATCCTATCACTCCACTGCGTGCCGGTATCAGGATGGCGCAAAGATTTTACGGAGCTGGGTTTATCGAGCAAGAAGGTGAAGGCCACTGCAGCATTGCTGAGGTCAGTCTTTGTACTGTCTCCAAGGTCCGAGCGTACTTTCGCGATGGAATTGTGCCTCCTGCTCCAAGACTGAAGGATGGCCAGCATGTCCGAGAAGGATTATGGGACAGATGCGAGACAAATGAGCGGCCCTGGCAACCTCTCCATGCACAAGAGAAGCTCGGAAGTGTATGTGGGATGCAGCGCCCATGGACAAGCTCCGAACTTGACGAGGCGAAGTTCCTTGAGCAACAAAACATCGCACTAGTTCGCGCCTGGAAGAATGTGCAGGAATACATGGTGACTGAGACAATTGAACGTCCATGGTTGGATATCACTCTCATGGCCAATTCTCCTTAGGACGAACATCGTGCTCCAGTCACTCGTTCGCGAAGCAAAGAATTGCAAAGATGAACAACTAGTGTAAATGCCAGTGCATCTCATGACAGGACTGTGAGACATGAACGTTTGCATGATCAATACACTGGGGCTCAAGTCTGTGTAAGAACCACTGTCGTCGGATCCTCTTGATAGACTTGATCGATAACCTTGAAACGAGATTCAAATATTGAACGGACGCTCATAGTATCGAGTTGCCTCATTATTTCTGCTATCTATCGTAGCTCTTCCTTGAGGCCCCTTTGGTACACCTTTATAGCTGCAAGACTTAGAGTCGTTCGGCATGAAATACGGACGTAGCAGCGAGCAATCTTACTGGAGCAGGTACCTCGGTGTACTTTGCCCGTCTGCAATATTCTTGTACATGTGCTAGGCTCAAGTCTAGCTTGATTCGGACTATGGTGCCAGAAATGTAGGATGAAGGACTGAAGCCAAACACAAGAAAGAACGCTAGTAATCTCGCCATTGAATAGTGTGCATGGCAGACGCTAGAGGTAGATTGATCTCGTCGAAGTCATACGGCCGTACCAATTATAGAATGGATTCGTCAAGCTAAGTAAATGCTCAATTTTCTGGATTTACAGCTAATCTAAGCCGTGCGATCTCTTGATGTTAGATTAACTTTTCTCTATCCTGTTGACTGAGACGACTTTTTGAATTGTCCATTAAGCTAAAAAACATGTAGTCGATAGCGGTTTGACTAGAGACTCGGCTTAGCGCTCTTAAGATCATACATAGGATGCGCACCTAAGCGCTAGTCCTAGCGCGACACAAGTAACGAGACTAGAGGAGATATGAACTCGCTAGCGTCCGAGCCCCGTACATACGACAGATTTGATTTTTACAGACCTGGAGGAGACGCCTATTCTAGACGGAAACTTGCGTTACCCTAATGCCGATCTTACTAGCATTAAGCTTATATCTCGTGTTGTTCCTTATTTAAAGACTAGTACCATGAACGCAAAATGAGTCCCGTCATAGCCTGCGTCTTGACATGGGTGTGACTAGCTAGACTGCTAACGCGCTAGAGCCCAAACAACGTTACACTATCGATGTTAGACTTCAGTCCCAACCTTTAGAGACCGCTCGGCTTGATTTCTCCATATCAAGTTCACGAGAGGCTTTCATGGTTTCTGGCTTTTTTGCGTCTATAGAATAATATAGACTAGACTGGACAGCTTTCGGAACAGTGGTAACCCTAAAGGCTTTAAAAAGTCACGCACAGCAAGACCCACTTCGTTGTCAGATGCCGAATATCGCCTGCATATCCAGAACTGAGTGGTGACACGTCAGCCGTTACCGAAATCAAGCGCGGGATCAGTTAGATTTTGATATGCGGCACATTCCGGTCATGCTTACTTGAAATATCGCTGGATTGGTCGCAGATATTGGTTGCTCGACTATTCAGGTTCATTCAAATCCATCCAGACTGGTTCTTTGACATGTCGCATATTGGAGCCGGTCTCCATGCTCATCGAAGCATGCATCTTCCGGACTATGCTCCTCTGGAACACGACACAGAGTCTACTCCAGTGAATCCCAAGTGTTCGGAGCGAAACGTCATATCAATTATCCTGACAGTCGTTGTCACTCTATCAGCTCTCTGGGGACTGATTGATCTTTCCCGTCGAACTATCAGCGTGGTGAGCGAATCGTTGATCGATAGTAACAAAAGCAACTGTTACTGCGGTACCTCGCTGGCACAGGCTGAGCACCTCAACTGCGTCTTTGATCAGGTGGCGTCGGCTTGGATGCCACCTCAATGCCGCGACGACCAAATATCCTCGCAGTTTGATCATTCGGGGCCCTTGGATGGCGGTCGGTGGCCTTATTACGCAGACAAGAATGGAACCCAACAGCTATCCATACAAGAACTGGCAGAGCTCGGAGGAAAGTTGACACACTATTACACAACGCTACAGTGGCACCTTGTGCACTGCAACTTCATCTGGAGAATGCAGTATTTGGCCTGGACGGAAGGATCACTGATCGTGGGAGATCGTGACGACACGATGCACCACATTACCCACTGCGGTAATCTTTCTCTAGTCCGCGATCCGCTAGAGACCATCGACACTAGTGCCAGTATTGTTCTGAATTCCTCTAGACATCACTTCTGGCGGCAGGAGTATGAGAACTTCCGCCTGTCCACTGATGATGGACATGGAAGTTCAGCTTAGGATACTGATTTCGAAATGCAACACAATTCCTAAAGTAGAGCTTCCACGATACCAACTTGCGAAGACGATCCTTGTGTCTAATCTCTCGTTACCTGGATATGATTTGGCAACACTTCCATATGCTTTGGGAGAAAGAGAGAGGTCTGAGGGTCAAACGCTTTGGGAGTCGAGCAGGATGACGGGGCGGAGATGGTGATCTGCACGTGCACAGACTGTGCTTTCAGAGGATTTGCGGACTGGAGATGCGGGGTGGAGAGAGATGGCCTAGTAGAACCATAGTACACGTGACATGAGTTTCACTTGCGAAACACAAAAAGGCTCCGTCCGCGCTTTCCGTTTCCGAAGTCTGCCTTTCCTACAGGCGACAAGTGAATAATATTTTAGCTTAAATCCGTACGCACCATGACTCGTTCGACAACATGCGACATCACAAACGTCCACATGGAGCTCTGCATCTTGTATTGTGGCCTGTTCGTGGTTGCAATGGCGATCAGGACTTTGAATATGCACGAATCATCATACGTTACGTGGGATGAAGCACAGTTTGTGACACTTCCCTTTTGAGTACCTTAGAAGCTGTTCCTGACCTTGCATAGCTTCGGTCCTCAGATCGGCTTCTCACTGGCACGAAGATTTTATTTTGACATCCACCCACCACTTGGAAAACTGCTTTTTGCCCTCTGTGCGTACGTTACAGATTTTGACAATACATTTCCCTTTCAACCTGGGCAGGCGTATCCGAGTGACCTCAATATTACTTCTCTGCGCTGGTTTAGTGCTTGTTTTGGCGCCCTCTGCGTTCCTCTGACTTATGCAATCGGCCGCAACCTCCAGCTCCACGGCTTCAATGTTTGGCTGATCACCGTAATGGTCCTTTGTGATCATTCATATACGACGATATCCAGGTTCGTCCTGCTGGATCCCATCTTGTTATTCTTTACCTTGCTAAGCATCAAATTCTGGACTGATTGCCAATCATTGCTTGATACTGCTCCTTTCTCAGCGCGTCTGCCCAGTCTTATCCGCGCAGGTTTCAGCGTAGGGTTGGCATGCTGTACAAAATGGTCTGGCTTGCTCACATTGTCTACGCTGGTTATATTTACTATCATTCGGACGTGTAAGCAAGAGTACGCGATTGGCTCGAAATACTCACGGCGCTGCTACCGCCTCTCGGTTTCCATGTGCGCATTGGTCCTTCTACCATGTCTAACTTACATCGGGATCTTCAGCATCCACTTCTGCTTGCTTAATCGCTCAGGTCCAGGCGACGGTTATATGTCTGCGCAGTTCCAGTCGTTACTCCATGGATCCCACGTCGGAAAGTCTGGGCCAAAATTTGTGCGCTCTGATCAATCAGTGACTCTCAAGAACTTTGGATATTCAGGGGGCCTACTATGGAGCTCGGCTAGGAAATATCCTAGTAGTCGCAAAAACTACCAGATCACTTGTACATCGACCAAGCTGAGCACTTCCCAGTTGTGGGTATTCATGCCGCAAAAGACGATCAGTGATCCCAGTAGAACGGGTACTGATGAAATTCAACAAGGAATGAAGGTCCGAATCATGAGTTCAGATAAAAAGTTCTACTTGACAGCTCAAAGTCAAGCAGCTCCTTTGACAAAGAAGCATAAAATGACGGCTGGTATACTGTCGGCGGATCTGTTTACAGGCGAGGAAACATGGATCATTGAGGACTATGCTTCGTGTTCCAAAGCAATTAGCGAGCCTATCAAACTCATCTCGACAACGTTCAGGTTGAGGAATCTACTCCACGACTGCTATCTAGCAGCAGGATTTGAAACGCTTCCAGCTTGGGGTATGTCACAGGTCGAAACAACATGCGTACCAGCCGATATGGCACTGCAGAGGGACACATTATGGCTCGTCGAGGAGCAGTTTGACACTTCAATCGTGGCTCATGCCAACTCGGTTCCAGTCGGCATTCACCATCCTGCGCTTTCATTTCTCAGAAACATGGCTGACATCCACGTTGCCATGTGGAAGGTTCACAGAAGGTTCTCGCGCAGCCCTGATAAGTATGGGAAGCTGGCATCCCAGCCATGGCACTGGCCGTTGATGCAGACGGCGATGAGAATGACATCGTGGAGCTCAAACAGGACCAGATACATCCTACTAGGCAACCCCTTTGTCTACTTCACATCTACACTGTCTGTCTTTGTGGCCCCGATTCTTAGTATGGTACGTCTAGGTCAGCCAAAGGGAAGAAGATCTAGTCCCTACCATGCAAAGAGCGGATACTCATTCTCACTTGCTGGATGGGCAATTCATTTCCTACCATACATGTTAATGGATCGACCGCTGTATTCTCATCATTACTTACCCGCACTATTCTTCGCAATCTTAACCACAGGATGTGTGGCTGAACAAGTGTTGTATGGTTTACCAAGATTCTTAAGAAGTGTAACGTATATGCTTCTCTACGTTGTCCTCTTCTGGAATTTCTGGTACTTTCGAGCCTTTAGTCTTGGAATGAAAGGTTCACACTCGGATTGGCAACATCTACAGTGGTTTAGTTCGTGGCAAATCCGCTGAACAGAGCAATACAGAAGTCCTCTACTTCCTTACTATAGTGCTGTCCTTCAAGTCTATATATGTCTTCTATCATTTGGATATCTTCGACTAAGGTTCTAGGCTAGCTAATTCTGCTTAGGCATCTTGTATAGTACCTTTAGTAAGAGAGAGTTAAGTTAGAACTATTAAGACTATCCAGTAAAAGCAAGATAATTCTCTCGTTCTTCTTATAGTAATAATCTTCTATTCTTCTACCCTTCTTTCTCATTGAGTATTTTTAGTATATGAATAATAATACCTTCTCTCATCCTATAGGTAATATACTAAGGATGAGCTAGATAGATAGAATATAGATCTGAGATATGTTAATGACCGTCGTTGTGAGATTCCGTCCGAAGTGATACTGATGGAACACTCAACAAGCCCGAAAAGATTTGACGTCTTGATTGGTCTCGACCACTTCGGGATCAGTTGTTCTGTAATTTCGCCATCTACGACTGATGAATCAATGTTCATCATGCTTTCAGAGGTCATAGCTCGCAGGACAGTCGGGGCCAAGACGGCCAGATTGACAGCCGTACATTTCATTGCTGATGCGAAGTTGCAGATTTATGACAGTATTGATCGAATGCAACGTGACCTCCAGATATCAAGGCCGCAGCAAGTTCTTTAGTGCTGACACCAAGCACATACAAGGCGAACTGTAGATCTCTAGCGTCCGTTCCGAATCGGGGGACAGCTAGGGGCATTCTTTAGGATGCTTAGAGAAACAGATGCTCAAGTACACTACCTTTTGATGTGCGAGCGGGCTTCGAAAGTAACTTGAAAGATTTTATCTGAGCGGAGCGCACAGTAATCTGCGTTCGATGGGATACAACTGTCTAGCCTTCTCCTTAGACTTATTGTCCTTCCTTTCCGTTCTTGCAATCTTCTCTTTTGCTTTGCTGAACGCCACCGAAGAGCTTTCCACGAATAATTCTCATGATGTTTCTAACTGTAACGTCATGCCGACGCTTGGTGCTGGACGCCTTCGCCGCGGCAATACCCCGCTAGGCTATGTAGCTGGGGCTCCGGTTCACGCACTCCTAGTCGTCAGTCTTGTAGACACTGGCGACGGTCTGATTTGGTGTTGTCTCTCTTGACGGTTTTATCGTCAGGGATTCTCCTCAAAGGGCTGTCCTCGACTCGCGCAATGATGAGAGACATCCCCAATAATTTTTGAGCTGGTACCAATCTCTAGAACAATGCTGTGTTCGTCGGTATCCTGTGCATCGTATAGCTCGATGTCACCTCGCCAATTGACTTCTTCGTATGCAATCAAAAACTCTTGAAGAGCATTTAAAAACGTTCTATCGATGTGAGGCACTTTGAGAGACCCTCCAATCCCACATCATACGCGTAGATGGTCTCGAAAGAACACTGTATTTCATCTATTTGGTCATCGTCATTGATCATTTGAGATTCGCATAGTCATATGTCTGCTGCGAGCGTGCAATGGAGAAATTCTCTAGGCCTTCTGTCCAAGGGTCTCGACAGAAATTTCTTCCTGTCGTCAAGATACTCGTCGATGTATGTAAATGGCACCTCGATCTTTTGTTTAATTGAGACTGGAGCGGAGGGTTGAGTCAGAAAGGCCGTACGAGTGCGCGGCGGGCTGTAAGAGGTTGTTATTGTAACAGTTGGAACATGCTTTCCATGTCGATGTTTCTTTGAACGCTTCCACCTTCCAGAGCTGCTGCGCAACCTTATCAAGATCTTGCGCCCATTGACGATCATAGATGCTTCTGTCGCCTTCTTGGGATCTCCGAAATACCTGTGAAAAATCGAATGACCGATTCATGGCCTTTACATTCAGATCTTGTTCAGCGTCAGTTCTGCCAGTTGATTGGTCGCGATGTTACTGGCGAGTATCAAGGTGACAAATAAGCTGAGCAAGCCTCATTATGTCGTACGAGACTCTTGAGAGCTAGACATGCGAATATGCTTAGGAGGGAAGTCCCTGTGTATTGGCATCATCGATTAGCTCCCAACGTATCTGGATGCTATCAGTCTTGGTCCATCCCCTCCCAATCAGAAAGATGCCGGCGAGTGATTCAGAGGCTCCCAATCATTCTCGCAAGTTTCAACCCGCTGAATTCAGAACACATAGTAGAGGACACATCGTGATATGGTAAAACAATGGAAAATATAGAATACAGACTTGACATCACCAGTATAGAGGGCGGGAGAGAATCAGTATCAACTGACCTGGCCATAGCACTAAGCTTGGAGTTGAGCCAGCGGTGATGCCGGCACTAGGATTATCCTGATGTTTCAACTCCCGACGAAACAATCAACGTGATTCTGATCGGTGTCTTGGATCCACTTGACATTGCGTAATTCTAAGTTCTTGATCGATGTACCAATTTCGGCACGAAGCTGAAAGAGACTACTTGCCCGTATGGAGAGAGACTCCAAACATACACTGCTCCATCTTGATAATGCTAGGGAGGAGAGCAGTGGACCCGCGTCAAATTCTGCTGGGCGGCATTGACCCTCAAGAATGAAACTCTTCGCACTTCTCGCATTGGCAACCAAGCGATGTAACGCACTGTTCCTATGAAGCATAAAGCCAGGCTCTTGCTTCCATGATTCGCAGTCAAGGGTAATGACAACATGAATCTCCTTAACGTCGATCTGTGATAAATCGTCGCATTGATATGATGACGTCATGTCATCTCGCAACGTGAGATCGTTATATACGTTGTCCCATGGATGTGCCAGTAAGTGAGCTTTCGATGTGACGCGGAGCTGCTTGAGCGAGAGTCCGCTCCTAGACAGAGCCAAAAGTACTCGCGATTGGTTGAACTGATCAAAGCAGAACATCCCGCCGCGGTCGAGAATGCCGTCCGGATCTGTTGTTCCATCCATCGTCCAAAGGATGTCAAACTCGTTCTTATATCCCACACAACTTCCATCTCCATCGTCCCATATCTCAAGGATGAGTTCGGTGTTCCGGTTTCGGCGCAGATTCTCGAAGGCGCTTTGCAGCCTATCAATGATACCTCCTCGTGAGCATAACAACTCATACTCGTAGAGAGCAGACAAGAGTGACTCGACGATGTCTCGTACGACACCTTGAGGATCCATTGGGGGGCTCTTACGTAGAGCCCTCCGTAGTTCGTAGATAGTCGTATGTCTCGGAGCTTGAGTATTGATGCCGATGTTCTGTATATATGGTGCTATCATTGCAGACGTGCACATATCCTCCAGTCTTGTTAGTCCAGCCTCGGTGATCTGTATGTTGAGATATGGAAAAGCCTTTGCAGCAAAAGTCCGAGATATCAGAGAGGCAATTGTTCGGCTGGCAAGTCTAAGGGACTTCAAGGTCGAGGTCTCCGCATGCTTAGCGATAAGCAAAATAATGTCGGGAGAAATTACTGCCATGCTCCAGTTGCTCGCTTTGTCGTGTTTGTTGATAAGATCTTCGTTCTGAGATGTCTTTTCTTGGTTGGAATGTGATAGGAGATCGAGGCAGAAGGACATGTGTCCATTAGTTGCAACGCTGATGGCGGAACCACGCTACCGTTCCCTGATTCTCGCAGGTATCTTGAAAACAAAGCAGTTGTTGGCGCCGACGCGTCGGGAGATCTGCAAATCACATGTGCTCTACTGTACCAATAGTGTCTTGATCACGTACCAAAGACTCAAAAGATAAAGCCATCCACAAGTGGCTCCGCCAGAATCGTGAGCCGGACACTCATGCCCAACGTTTGTGCTTAGAGTTCCACCATCACACAGCTTTTGGTAGCGTAGATCAGCGGTCTGGATCCACTTGCTTATGGCTCCATGCGCAAGCGTCAGCAGTAGATCATCTGACAAGCGACTTTTCATCCGGTCATGCAGTCGTGGAGCTAGTCAGGCTATAACGATCCTCTTACTGGGAGCGCATCCGTGATTTTTCGTCGAACTACAGAAGCCACCAGTAGCATGAGCTTGTCGGCTGGCAGCACCACTTACAGTCAAATCTCTGTACACACGCCTGCTAATCTGATTGGTACGGATCTGTCCGGTGGTCTGGCGAAATCCTTACTCCAACAAATTCAGCAGTTATCCAGGTCTTTGACCAAGGTCACAGTCCAACAACAAGCCAGACAATCTGGTAGACTTCGTAATGACGGGTCTCAAATCTGCAAGTCTCGCTATCTATATGGTGCGCGAGCTTGAAGTCTTTTGATCAAAAAGTGAGACCAGCCTAGAATAGTGTGGCCCGAAGTCGAAACTACAATTACAGAGACACGAGGTGTTTACTGTGCTCATTTGTGGTTCGCCGGTCCTTAAACTCGGGTCAAGGACTGCGGCCGTACGGCCGAATCGGGGGTAAGACAATGCGGCTTAGACAAGTAGGCCGTACGCCGTTAGCCTAGATGCGAGGCGCTCGGGACAAGAGGACGTTACCCTGGGTCCTATGTACCTCAAATTAGACTTCGTGACAAGGGGAGTAGGGCGCGGTCGCCTGTGCCTAGCAACTCGTATTGTAGACGTGCAAGGATTCGCCGAGATCCGAGAATAGCTTCGCGTGCTGACATAGCCGGTCATTGGTCGCAGCGGGACGTGCACAAAATTGAAGCTATTATTATCGATCATGAAATCAAGCTTGAAAAGCAAGGCGTGATTAAGTCATGGCGTCTTGGTAGGAAGGATTGTATAGCCGAGTAGATACGGCTTCACATCAACTGAAAGGGGTGATTCTTTGCCCGACCTAGAGTCTTCGTAAGAAGTCATGTTGAGTGCACACAGCACAGACAGTGACGAAGTCACGGTACTTTGCGTTTTCCCAGATCTGGCCACGGAGCTTGAATGTAATCAAGTCAGGTGCAGTCACATCGTGACGCATTTGTTCATGGCCTATTGCTATGAGAACCTGGACGTCACGGATTGGACGACCTACCTTGGACCGCAAATGCAACTTGATGTCGTGACTATAACAAAAAAGAGAAGTATTTTGAATACTGAAGTTCGATGCGGCCTGTTACCAGGCCAGGTTTGATGATAAAGACAGGGAAAAACATCACAATTGCGCGGAATCTCATTTTTGGAATAACACTCTCAAAACGAACTCAACAAACACCAGACCAAGGCCAAATTACTCGCGGAAGTGAGCTCTATCGACACGATGGGGACTCAGATAGCCGCCGGGTCGAAATGGCCAGTGGTTGGGCAAAGAGACCCAAACCCAGGCGCCCACGGTCGCGAGATCAAGAACAAAATCAACGCATTGATGGAATGCGCCCGCGGAAAGGCCAAAACTGGCAAAACCAAAGCGTATCCCCAAGGAAAGGTCAACGAGATCTTCAGATCCATCCTTGAATTGGTGGAAGAGGCCCCGAAGGGCCCGGGAGAGGCCATGCACCCAGAGGCGACCACCAAGGACGACCTCGATGCGTTTGATTTGATTTGATTTGATTTGTTTTGATTTGATTTGATTTTCTCAAGCTATTTACCCCGCAAGGGGTATGAGCTGTCTATCATAAACAAGATTTCTAGCCAATCACAATCATCGGTCTTAGTTATATAAGGAGGGTGAAGGTCTCTCAGACCTTGAACTAGTCGCGCACGCCTAAAACTCCAAAGTGCTCTCTTGTAAAGAGTGACTCCACACTTCCATTCCTTGATTGTTAGATGGTGTAGGCCTTCTCCATAGAGGTGATTCTCTATGTTGTGTTCTTCCTTATTAGCTAAACACTACTTGGAGGCGATTGGATCAAGGTAGTAGTCGTGTTGTTGTAGTTGGGTGGAGAGCACCTCCATGTCAATCTGTCAGGTTCATTCTGTCACTTGTTACTCATATTTGTCTTTGCAATCTTCCTGTTTTGCTGGCGTAGTCAATGGTGGCTTTAACGGCGTTCAGATCTGGTTGCCATTTGTCCTTTTCGCCATCGATCTTCTAGGTGAGTATTCTGTATACTCACAAGAAAGGGGAGGAATTAGTCCCTAGGTGAGACCGATCGCGAAAAACACAGGGGACGGCAGTTTAACACCGAAACACGGCGAAGGGTCGTCTAGTCGCTTTGCCGATTCACGAACTGGATACGAGGGCCTGCTTAGGCTCTCTGCGATTCTGGTAGGAATGGATCTGGGTTATGGCTGACCGAGGAGGACGTCGGCAGGTTGGTCGCCTGCAATCGGAGGAAAAGAGTCTCGGGATCGGATCCCTCGAACGTACTTCGACATTACGACCTGGGACTTAGATGGATCCCGTCTGAATACCGACTGGTGGCGGACATTACGCTTCGCTGCGAACAGATTTTACAACAAATCCGGATTGGCATCCTGACATCTGGCCCAGAGGAAGGGACTGCGTTCCTCGACTTCGACAGAGCTGGATGCCACCGGAGACGACGGAAGGGAAACGAACCTGGATGTCGACTCTGGATAACTCTAACCAATGGAGACCCCATTGGGAGATTCATGAGCGGGATGCTCCCACAAGCGATGATTGAATCCTCGGAAGGGAGCTCTCCTGTATATTCGACAGCCTATGCCAGCGGCGGCTCTGGCATTGCGCTCTTCCCCCAGCTCACCTGTCGATAAACTCTCGGAGACACGGAATCTCCATCATATCTTGGTCCTTTGGATTAATTTCCTTGATAGATTTCGGAACCTCTACACATGGAGGGAACGGAAGGACCGCTAGCGTATCGCAGCACGCTTAAAAGGACTTCACCCTGTTCCATATGATGTCCCCTACTTGAGAAGGAAGGGGGTTACTTTCCTTTGGCTGGGACGGCCCTGTTAGGGACCCGAAAAATCCGAGAAGGTGTTAACGTCGTCTGCGCTATGGTATTGCATCTTCGGGATGATATCATAGGTCATGCAGAGCGTCAAGCCTCAACACCTCCGGTCCCTTCCCCCCGGGCGGGCTCATCGAAAAACCGCAAGCAGGACGATCTGGATGACGTGATTTATACTGGTTCTCCAGGCTTTCAAGTCGAATGATTCTGGAAGGAAGACTGACTGGTTCGCGTAGATGGGCTTCTCCGATCAGCGGCGCGTTGGTAGAGACTACTTCGGGGTCTCTTTAGATACGTGACATGGTTGAGCTGAGAAGCGGAACTGATAGACACTACTGGGTGCCGGCTGCCGCTAGCGATTAGGCCGCTTGGAAGGCATTTGACAGGTCCATCAAAGAGATCAAGCAAGACCGCATCCAGCTCAAGACTCCTGTGAAGCTAAGGATGCTCGCACCGTAGCCTGACGCGAAGCGGAAGCACGGCTCTGTTGAGGAGGCCAGGATGGACGAAGGCCATCGGCAGAAGCGGCTCAGCAAAGATGGCACCAGAGGATTGGTCAGGGTACGCAACCACCTCATCGCACGGCCTGTGCCCGCGGTGGAGGACTCTGCAGGTGGCGCGTCACAAGTAACCGACCCGGCGGGAAGCCTACCGCCAAGCGCGCAGAAGGCTGTTCTTAACTGACGCGGACAGTGAAGATGAGGATGTCGAGGAAGGGGACGGGGCAGAAGGCACAGAGGACCCAGAAGACACGAGTGGGACTGGGGAGACCGGCGGCAGTGGTGGTGGCGATGTTGACGATGGTAGCAGTTCACGGTCGGTGGTTCTCAAGCGGTTGGCAAACCAGGTGCAGTGGTTGCAAGACAGTCGTGAATGCTGCAACACGTATCGTATAGCAATTGCGGGCGTTCAGTACGCAATGAGCCAAGCGACAACAAAGATGTTAGCAGCGCACGGGTAGTCTTTCAATTAGTGTCTCTATATCTGTCTATCACTCTCTCTCTCTCTATCTATCTTTCTCTCCATCTATCTATCTATCTCTCTCTCTCCCTGTCTCTTAGCTCTCTCACACACACAGTCTACTCTCTCTCCGCTCTCTCACTCACACATCTACCTCCTCACACAGATCTGCGATCTTGCAGGGGAGCAAAATGCCAAACGCAAAGAGAAAGGTCAAAGCGGAAGAAGAGAAGCAGCACAACAAGATCAACTCCGGAAAGGCTCTCGTGAGATACGATTTATTCTAACACAATTCTGAGTAAGCCCAGAGTATGGTGCTCTTTTTGCCTTGCTAACGGAGACAGGTCCGCCAAGAAAGATTCTCCTATTGTACTCAGGGGTAAGGGCCGAAAATACCACGTATTCCCTCGGATCCTGGAAATCTGTACCAAAAAGCTTCGAAAAACTTCAATCTTAGCTTCAAGGATAACCGCATCTGCGTTGACCTTGACTCACTCAACTGGCGGGGTCACAGACTGGCCCATGGACCACAGGAGAAGACAACCCTTGTCGCACGAGATAACTACGAAGGGGACACCAGGAGCCAGGATCGGATTCAGAGCGTTTATAATATAGTGAACTACTAATAACATCTACTTTAGAAGTAAGAAACCTAGACAAAGGGTTTTAAAGTAAATAGATAGTAAGAAAATACTAATTAGTCTACCAAGCTCTCTCTTATCTCTCCTTGAACCCTGGGAAATCTTTCCCTACCCTATACTCATTTGCTCTTGCCATAACATATAGGAAATCTTCATGTTTATTCATTGCTGACAGTTCGCCTGTAGGAATGAATGTGTCCATGTTTTTGACAAGATCAGGATGCTGTGCAAACACGTTGTCGATAGTCTGGAGCACCTGTGAAGGACTTGGGCGTGCAGAAGGTTTGAATTCAAGCATATTGTCAACCAAATCATGGAGCTCTTCGGAGAATTGAAAGAACTGGTCGTTTCGGTTATGCTTGCGTGTCTCAATTGTTGTCATACCGTCTTCTGGTTTCTGTGCGAAGTTCAATTGTTCTTTGGGCTTGCCTTGGTTTCTGCATTCCAAGATAGGAGCTTGGCCTCTCATAAGACACAGCGCAAGCATACCAATCTGCCATATGTTGGTTTTAGCAGTAACCCATTGTACTTCTGGTTCTTTGCTTGAATCTACTCTCCAATCACCATCATCATCTGTAGAGAGTTCAGGTGGTGCAAATGGCTGACAACAGCCGTCCAATGGGTCTTCGCGATCTATCTCCGTACCTGCCTGCAAGTCTCGAAAGCGAGAGTTGCCAAAGTCGGCCATCTTGGGTGTGGGATATATGGCAAAGTGATGAGAGTCTGGCCGGTCGAACAACACATTGCCAGCCTGGAGATCCTTGTGTACCATTCCTATCGACTCCATCGACACTGCAACCCTGATCATAGTCCTGACAAAATACCATATGAACGGCTCAGGTACAGAGATTGAGACTTTTAGACCCATGACTTTCTTGGTGGCTGCTCTCTGAGCTCTGACTATGTCGTATATGGTGCCGTATGCGCAGTATTCAAAGTATAGTTTGTAGATAAATTTTGCGTTGTTAGGCGGACTGAATCCCAACGTCCGAGTGATGTATTTCTCCAGACCTTGGCCAGTAGATGCGAGTTCTGCAAACAATCGGATGGCGTTATCAAACTCAAGAGGAGTGCCGCCAATCTCATCGTTCTTCCAATGGCCAGGATCGTCATATGTGGCTTGTCCAGGTGTAACTTGCTTAACAACCATATGGTCAACTATGCGATTGGTTGTTGAGTCAGTCTGGCACCATAGCCCTACGACTCCATCCCCACCAGAGCCAACATATCCAGACGGTAGCCATGTTCCAGTACCTGCAGGAGGTTTGAATGTGCCCGTAACGAAGCGATCCTCAAGATTGCGCTTTACCGCACGTGCCAAACTGTGAAGCCTCGTTGTGAAAGGCTGTAGACCAGCATATTCGTCTGCCATGATGTTGGTAGTGTGATGTAGCAATAAAGTCCATGACATGAGTTCACAGACAGTGGTGGGTACATGACAATGAATTGCTTTGTTCAATACTAACCGGATGCAGAAAGCTAGAAGCGTTTGTTACACAAAGAGACGCATTCCTACAGACAGATGTGATATGTGCATTTTGAACAAAGAATCGGTTCGAAACTACCTAGGGAGTTTCCTCACATAGGATACAACTCACCTAGGTGGTTACGTCCACCAGAGAGGGTATGCCCTGTTTCATTCTACCGGGGGTCAGGGTTAGGGCAAATCGGCGGCTTGTTGATGGAGGGTAGAGGGCTGGTCAACTGGCGTAATTTGTTTGCGGTCGCGAACACTGATGAGGACAGGGTTGTTAGATTGGGTCTTGGTGGTTTCTGTCGCTGAAGCGGTCACAAAGCACTGTGGTGGTGAGTGGTAGACAGCGGCAGTTGATGCCTGAGTTTGGGAGTGATATCTGCTCCAAGTGTTGACTTGGCGCACAGACGACAAGGGGCTTATCTTTGTGCTGAGATACTCGCAACTGTTCGAGTCGATTGCAAAGTACTTGGTCGCTGATGGATTGATTGATCGACTCACAATTTGTCCGCGGACGCGGACTCCAGAATTTGTTGGCAAAGGAGGAAGTGGAGGAGAGGAGTGAGGGTTGAATATGGAAGAAAAGAAGAGGAAGTGGAGGGGGGAAGGGATATTATATACTCGACTCGGCGGTCGCGGTCGCGCGCGGAGGATTCGAGTGACGGTGAGCTTTTCGAAGTGACGGCCCCGACTTTTCAAGTGAAATGTCGCCTCGGACTCGGTGACGGTATCAAATAGCTAGTGCGCGTCGGTAATGGATTGAAGGAAAGCGCGTCAATACGAATTCGGAAGGAAGACGCGCCGAGTGAATTGAGAAGGAAGGCGCATCAGAAGTCCGCAATCGCGAACAAGCTATCAATAATGATAGTAGTAGACGAATCTGTTGTGTGTACTGGTGGGTGTATATAGACTTACCTGGTGCCAGGGTCAGGGTCAGGCTCAGGATCAGGCTCAGGCTCAGGGAAGTAGCTGCGGCGAGGTTCATGATACGTCTCTCGAAACGAGGTATCCCCCCTGTTCAAAGCTGATAAATGTTCGCGGCCGCGAACAATTGTTGATCGATCCATGCTTGCTGCACTGTGGAAGTTGTATCCGCATGTTGGCATATGTGCCGGTGCCAGTGGGTTTGGCCAGCATGGGTCTCGTTGGTGTGGGAGTCACCAAACTATGGGTTTTCGTGTGTGGTCTTGGCGTGCTAGCGGCTGGCGTCGTTCAGGGAGCACTGTTGGTTGGTGTAGGGTAGCAGGGCGGGTGTGCCTTGTGCTTGTTGCTCTTGTCGGTTTGAACGTTTTGACCTCCCGTGGTCTGTTGGTCTCTGTGTTATTGGGACTCGGTGTTGAACCTGTTTCCTTTAGCAAATATGTTGCGATCAGGACGGAGGGTACATGTGGCGTCTTCTTACCTTGTCTGTATGTGTGTCCTGACGTGCTGGTACACTTGGGCTTCTTCGGCTTGAGCTAGTGGTGTCGTCTTCGACGCAGCCTGATGCTGATACTTACCTGTGGAGTCCGCTAACCTAAGGCAATACCACTCCGACGACGTGTGTCCACACACGCTGGTTTGAATGCCTACAGAGATGGTTGCTGTGGAGTTTTGAGGAATGTACAGCGTGAGGAGTGGTTGCGAAGACTCTGTTGGATGAGTGATTACACGTAGTCGGAACGTGCAAATTTCGACTGCCTTTCAGTTGACATCCATGATGTGTGCGCGTGGATGATTTACCGAAATCAGAGCGGACGTTACATGGAATCGGTGGAATTTCGGCTCCATGCCATGCCATGCCACTACTTCTAGCTAACACAACATTCCATGTCAAGTATCTAGTGGAATAATTCCAATGCCAACGTCGTCGTCGTCATCACTGCGTCCCTGTCCTTCTAAGGGATCACCCTGTCCATCCACATAGTCCCCTTGTTCTTCTTGTTCGTCCTGTTCCTCCTTTGCGGTCTCCTCTCCTTCCTCTATAGGTAGATCAACCCTCTCGAAGCAGAGGTTCTTCTGCCAGTTCTTAAGGCACTCGATATAGCCAAGATTGGTAGCAGAGAGGCTTGCTCGGTCCTACGATAGCGTCCTTCTATAGCCACTAAATACCCTCTCTAACTCTGCAGACATTGGATTGATTGAGAGGATATTGATAGCCATCTAAGCGAGGTTCGGATAGTTAAGTTGCTGCGTTAGTTTAAGCCACCACTGTATAGCGTCATCAACAAGGACAAAGGGCTCTTAATGAAGTGGACGAACTCCTCGCCTATATGAACTGAGCTTATATGCCTTAAAGAAGCTTGCCATTAAGCAAGCTTATTTAGCTCCTCCTCTTTTGATGATAATGATGCTTGCACAGCCTTGATCTAGTTCTTATACTTATTGTTCCATAGAGCACGTACAGCAGTAATGGCTGGTGTTCGCTATGATTAAGGCCACTACGTAGTGATATAGGCCTCGCGGTAAATTAGATGGAGGAGGAGCGCGGCGGCATAAGCAGGGGTGTAGCTGTTAATAGCTTGCCATTTATCGAGTGCAAATCGGCTAGTGTGTATAGCAGCGGCAAGGACTAGATTAGAAGCAGCGTACTTAGTTGTAGACTTCTCGTAATGCTTGCGTAGGAAGTCCATTGAAACTAGTACTTGGTCAAGTGTAGCATTATCACCTTCACACAACTTCGTCACCTTCTATAGTGGTTCCATGAACTTAACAAGCTCTTCAAGAAACTGCTAATGACGCCGCTGGAGGATGGTTTGCTCCATATGGTCGTGAGCATGCTGAATAGTACGTATGGCTAATCGAGATTGAAGCCCTCGCTTGATCATGGATGGCTAGCTGTTCCACCTTATGGTATTATTGAGCATAGCAGATACACTAGCAGCTGCCTTAAACTCACGACGACGGCGAGCTGACTTCATGATCCACTTAAAGAACTGGCGGAGGTAGTCGATAGCTTCGTGATCAGCAAGGCCAGTATCTTCACTCAGCATTGAGACCGCTTCTAAGGGATCTTGACTTTGGGCAAGCACGGCAGTAACAGCTTCCTTTGAACTTGCTGATATGAGTGCTTGACTAGCAAGGTTGACCTGATGGCCAAAACAACGAGTTCGATGCTGTATAGGGTCCCGATCGATAGATAGGCGCTCGCTGGATAGAGTAGCAAGGTGGCTCATCATAGTGTCGTTACAGGTAGCATTGTCAGAAGTTATGTATCCAACTTTCTGCTTAATGCCATAATTAACGATAGTATCGAAGAAGAGAGGAGCACGCTCAGCACCAGCATGGCCAGACGGTAGCTTATAGAGAGCAAGTAGTGCCTTACTTAGCTTGCCATCTGACGCAATGAATCGAGCTGTAATACTAAGCAGCTCATGGCTACCATAGTTAGCTGTCCAAGCATCGCAGGTAAAGTGGATTAATGACCGAGAGGTTGTAAGTAGAGCCTTAAGCTGCTCTTGATAGAAATCATGCTCCTTCTTAACGTGTTTTGCAACAGTATAATGAGTCTTAATAAGGAGCCTTAACGCGCTAGGAAGCACCTCGTCGAGTAGAGCATGAAGCTTATCATTGCTAGCAATACGGAAGGGAATATTGCTTGAGGTGATCAAGTCAATAAGACGTCTGTTCAAGCGAGCTTTGTCGATATCGGCAACAGTACGAGACGTCTGAGAGGGTGTTGCTCTTGCTAGAATCCTTGGAAGTGCACCAGTTGCCTCCCTCCAGCCATGTCTATTCGTCAAGTGCGATCTGACGTTGTCGTAGTTGGTAGTAGAGTAGTTCCGAGGACAGTCTCTATTGCCATAGAAGCAGTACCAGATCTTCTTCTTGCGCTCACGATCGCGCTCACCATGACGGCGAGCTCTGGCATGAGACCAGAGCTCTTCAGGGTCGCCACGGGTAGAGGCAGCCCTTCGAGAAGGTTGTATTGGTGTCGCGTCAGATTCATCAATGATGTTGCTCGAGGTAGATGGTGTTAATCGCTGTCGCTTTGAAGGAGGAAGCAACGGTTGATCGACATCAGAGGCGCCAGCGTCAGACTCAAGGTTGCCGCCATTGACAAAGGTACTGTGTGTGCGATCCACTGAGCCTAGATCTGGAAGGAAGGCCCCCTTCTTTTGGAGTGTTGGAGGCGAATTTGGAGAGAGTGCTCTGTGTAGAAGCGCGTAGCGACTGGCCTTGAGGAGTTTGAGAGTTCAACTGGCTTTATAGCTGTGTATTAGCAGGTGAATACATGATATGAGGGCCGAGTTGAGTATATTATAATGTGCTGACCAAGATAGGAAAACAGCTAGGAGCTTAGCTCTAATGTTTAGCAAGAAGTAGTTGAAAGAGTGGTAGTTAGAGTGTTGAATATATGAAGAGGGAGCGATTGATACGCGTCGAAAAGCGCGCGTGAGAAACCGCGTGGCTGAAGCCTCGAGCAGCCAATCGGAGCTCCAAATCTAATCTCCGAGATAAGATCCAGCCAACCAGAGACCTCAGAAGTGCCACCGATCGAGATACGCGTAATAGTAAGATTTCCTAAAGAATCCGCTATGCCTGAGCGCTGCACGCGCCAATCTCGAGCTTGCTACCACTTAACCATTGTCATTAGCTATATCGATAAGTAGAATAGTGGAATATTCTACTAGAACTGACGATTCTATTCCATGCCAATAGAGTGGAACATTCTACTGAAAATCAGTGGCATATGCCAACATTCCACTTATTCCATGCCATTTAACATCGGCTCTGCTTCGCATACCGAGGTTTATGTTGTATAGGTGACCCTGACTTTATCTCAAGTCGACATGTGTGCTGTCGTTTTCTGCGAAACGACCTTATGCTTAAGCTAGGCTAACATTCGGTTGTTAAGATCTCTTAATGAATAAGCTAGGGCCTCAATAAGCATTGTTGTGTCTATTATTGTGGCTAACGCACATTTCTAATCGTGAAGTCTAGAGAGCGATGATGTTTTGCGTTCGAAGCGTTCAGGTGCTTTCGCTCTGACTATCGTGTTCTAAGTCTCTTACGCTTCACACCTGTTGAAACATTGATTCCTCTAAATCCGTCTTCGTCGTTCATCCGATCGTCACTTTCATCTCCTAAGTTTTGATCTTCCAGCCATTTTGGATATGCATAGACTCCCCGTTTGTTCGAGAGAGAGCAATCTATGGTCACAATATCAAATTGATCTTCTAGTTGGCAGATGAATTTGTGCCAGTATCGACTGTTTTGCAGGTATCTTTCAATCAGTTCTGGCTGTAATCGAGCTGGAAAGCCGGTCTCAAGTGCATAGGCTCTTGAACGAGTTCTTAAATTGTGACCGGTCTGGAAGGCAAATAACGTCATGCATCCATCTTCCTGGTGAGAGCTGTCCGGATCAAAGAACTGTACAAGGTGAGGGAGGTGCTTCTTGCTTATGCTGACCACAGTGGCTGCGATAGTTGTGGAAATTCATAGGGAATGGTGAGTGTTCGCAAGCAGACACGAGGCTCTCTGAACAGTTTTCGGACAGGAAGTGAGATGGTCTACAATCGTATCGTGGGAAGAGGAAAGGGCTTGTACTTGCTTTGTCGTCGTACCCATCCAACTGGCGGCGGAGAAACTCGCAAAATGGCCGGACGTACGCGAGATAGACAAAGATGCTCTTTTGCGCTGATGAGCAAGAATTCCACACGATATAGATTGAGTTATCGTGATTGGTTGTGGCCTTGTTGTCTGGAAAGATGAGTATGATCTGCCCGTTGTATACAAACACGTTGCGCTTATTGCCGATAGTATTGACCCACTGCATCCTGCCGACCTCTGAGCCTCGACCAGGCATGCCACTTGTGAGATGTATCGTAGCCAGAATTGACTTGATCAGTCGCTTCTGGCCGCGAAGATATGCATACGCCTTCTGGCGTCCACCTCCTGCCATAGAGAATCCCCAGGCCTTTGAGAAAGCCACTTAGGTGAGTGATCGGAAGCTAGACCTCAACCCATTTCTCGGCTCTGTTAAGAAAGAATAACCAGGCTTGTCGTTACACATGCTGTCGTGCAAAGTCGAGAGATCATAGGGTATCGTTACCCGAAACAGCATATCTCGACTTGTTGTGCTGTACATTCAACCACGTTAGAGATCATCTGCCGGAAGTGCCCCATAGTAAGATCGGCACCACAAGCGTGTAGAGTACAGCCATCGAGGGACCATCGAACAGTGGCGGAAGGTCCTTCACGCTTTGCTATAGCACGGCCATGCTGTAATCGCTCAATCAAGTAACCGATAGGGGACATGCTGTCGCGTTGCAAGTGAAGTGGACGCACGTCAGAACAAAGTCTCTGACCGTAGTCAGAGTACGAATATCTTGCTGGGATCTGAACCTTTGTCAATAGGTACGGTCGGAGTGGCAATGCGTACTCCAACAAGAGCAGACGCCCTACCCATATAAGTGCCGAGAGATTTGTCGTGTAGTTGTAAGGCTTTCGAAATGCAAGCGTGCACGGGTCGATGCCTAGCACGCCTGAGAAGTTCGCAACAGGCGTCCGCTCAAGATTGCCGTCGTTCGATCTGTCGGTCCAGAAAGTAAGAAACAACTCAAAAAGCGACTCTAGCAGGCAAGCTATAGTATCCTCAGAACCTGTCAGCTTACGCTCGGTCGACGTGAACTGTACGTTATGAGCGAGACACCAGACTCTATCCATCGCAGAGCTCTGCGTAGATGTAAGGTATAGAGATGACAGCTCTCCAGGTTGTTCGTAAAGACGCTTCTCGAGAGCACGAACGCGATACACATAGCTGATGAAACGGCACCAAGACTGCTTGTAGCGACTTTCCGCGGCGGACTGAGGGATCTTAAAGTCGTAGGGTTGATAAGCGTGAGACCAGCTCTTGAGCCAGCACCGTAAGGTACGAGGTGTTGCTTCCGAAGTGCGCTTGCAACGATCTAGCACATGATGAGTGGCCACGCAAATGACAGCTAGTTGGTGTTCCTCTGCCGATTCACTAACGCAATCAAGACCTCACCAGGTGCCGAGAGGGAGCGATTCAGCAGGAAGGGTCATCTTTGGCATTCTAGAAACGTTCACGATTAAGCGACGCGGCGTGCTAGCGAACCAATCTTGCCAATTGCAGCCGCGTAGCCAATCGCCTCTGATCTTGTGTTCCAGTTCGTTGTCAAGACCGGTAGCCTCTTCGTCGTACTCTTCCGCGAGCCGACGTTCCTCTTCGGCTTCCATAACGGCCAGATCGTGAGCAAGCTGATCTTCGATATCCTGCGCTGTCGCTGCTGTTGCTACACGGCTATCCTCGTCTATGTGTGACTGAAGCTCTGGCACAACTGTAGCGTCTACTTTCCAGTAACCAGAGTCCTTGCTACGGCGATCGGTCCAGCGCTGTAGGGAACAAGATTGAGTAGACGAGGTATAGATCGAGCCACAGCGTGCTCCGTGTTGTTTGTTAACGTGTTTGTGCAAGCTAGGGTAGTATGTTGTCTTGTATATCGGGCAGAGTGGGCAAAAGGACCCTTGCACAGGGATGACGAGACATTCTAACGGTGACACTCCATCGGGACGAGGTCTAAGCTCATCTAGAGTCTGAGGCATAGTGAAGGACCGCAGTCGCTGTGCTACAGCGCGTCTAATGGAGAAATGACAGCCTCCATGTCTAGAGTATAGGTGACGGTCAACTTCGTCAAAGCAGACGGCGACTCGACAGGTCGTGCAAACAGCGACCTCAAGCTCGGGAAAGTATCGGATAACATCCAGGAGCTCTAGCCTACTCGTTATTGCCTTCTCTAAGACCTTGAGATGCTTCGAGGTATCGAGACAGCTCTGCGAGCAATCGGAAGAAGATATGTGGGAGGGACTACTCCGGGAAGGAAGCCTGAACGTAAGATACATCCTATGGTATCGCGAGAGAAGTGAAGAGTAATTTTTGACGGTAGATTTCGCTAAAACGAAACGACAAGAGAGGGTACATGAACTTGTACAGGATGTGATCGGGAAACAGTTAGACACATGGAAGAAATGATATTTCATACTTACCTATACTGCGATAGCCGACGCGTGTCTAGGTCCTAGACGCGTCGAGTTCGAGCAGCTTTCCTTATCACTCTATGCAGGATACATAGCCGCCCGTGGCAGGGCAACTGATGGGTCCGATGTTTCGACTATATTGACTATAGCCCTGAAGTCATGGACATGTCGCGGGGTGGAGAAGAACGGCTAGTCCTGATTAGGCATTTATTTGGTGGCACCACAAAGGCCCGTGCGAGACGCCCGATTGGGACGAGGTTCCAGTCAAAGCAGGGACACCTCATGTATTAGGCGACTTTCCCTAAACTTACGATATCCCAGCGATACGTTCAGAGGAACAGCGCACCTACGAAGAACATGGAGCTACGGGTTACACGTAAAGGCCTCCAGGCGAATCTCGACGCACACTTCAAGGCAGTGCAATACTCACTACCAGAAAACCCGCGGAAGGTTGGACAACATACGTGGAAGCTAGATGGGGCTCTCCCAGGGCCACATGTGGCGAATCTATACAATGCCCTTACAGCCCAGGAAGCCTTTATACTTGCACAGTGCCGCACGGGCCAATCGCACCTAAAGAGCTGCCTGTTCCGCAAGCAACTGTCAGAGACAGCGGAATGCATATGTGGAACGGGGAGAGAGACAATCTCCCACGTACTATATGAATGCCCTCTTCTTCGGACAGAACGACAAGCCGCGATGGAGGCGGTAGGGGAGAGGTGGAGAGATCAATCTTACATCCTAGGGGGTCGAAACCCCTGGGTTAATCCACAGACTGGGCAACCAGTGGATGGGCCGCGAGAGAAATGGAAGGCGAACATCCTGGTTGTGAAGACGGTGCTAAGCTTCCTATACAAGACCGGGAGATTCCACAACCCAGCGAGGGTAAATTCGTAGAGGGGATGCTAGAATGGAACAAGGGCGAGATGGGACACGGTAGGAAGAATATAGGAGCCGGCTTATAGGTCCTCCGGACCAGATAGCCTGATCAATTGAATAAATAGATAAATAAATATGCAAGGTCAGGAGTAGAAAAGCGGCTCGAGCTCCCATAAAATACAGCTACTAAGAAACGTACCACCAGTAGTAAAGTGTTGATTCCCACTAGTAGTTGCAATCGCACCTTGTTTTCACTTCGTATCAGCACAGCCAGAATTCCATAAGGCATGACAGTACTTACAAGTCTGGGATATGGTCACGACATCGTTCAGGCAAGTCTGGTAGGCGTTCTTATCAGTCTTGAAGTTCAGTGTTGCACAGTTGGTGCCACCTTTCCACGACACTCGATAGGTGATCGGGTCATCCTGCGCATCAGGCGGTGTGTACACATAGCTATCATGAGATCCGGGTGTTGAAGGGCTGAGTATGAGCCCATCAGACTTTGCCTGCGCGCAAAAGAGTTGCGCTCCATGCTCTGCATCTCCCTGCGTAGATTCGCGAGCATCCTTGTCGCGATTGCAACTCACAACGCCAGCACTCTGTGTGATAATGATTGGGCCCAACGAAGTCTTGGAAGGCTGATTGCTCAGAGAGGTCACCGCACTAGTGCTGATTGACGACTTTGCAGAGCTCGATGCAGATGCGGGGGATGCCGATCTCCGGGAAGAAGACGTACTTGATGTTGAAAGCGAACTTTTGATGACTGATGTTGATGGTGCTTTAGTTGTTGAAGCAGTGGAAGAGGCTTTGAAGCTTGATGTAGGCGATTGAGTTTTGATTGTTTGTCGACTCGAGGCAGGCGAAGTAGCGCTGGACAACGTGCGTATGCTAGAGGAGCTTGCCATGACACCGTACACAACTTGACCACCATATCCTCCATCACCAAGAATCGGTGCAAGTTGTGAGCCATCCGTCCAGAATGGAGTGTATGAGGGTAAAACAGGACAGCTGAGTGTGGTGTATGTACTGTCATCCGTGCCTTCTGTCTTACACCCAACGATGTTCCTGCAGGTCGTGGAACACGTTTGTGTAACAGTGGTAGAAGCTCCGGTCGTTACGACGCAGTGTGTACTACAAGAGGAATACGTCGAGGTCGTACATGTTGCGTCAGGCCCGCCACCCCCCTGTCCTGAAGGAGCATCAGGATCGTTCGAATCCCACCAATTGAGATCTGGCGGACCAGGACATGACAGCCAACAAGGATGGCAAATATTAAGGGTATTGTCGCAGTGATGACCGCATCCTAGAGCATGAGTACAGATCGGACTGGGAGGTCCTCTAGTGTGCGTGATTACTGGGAACCGCGGGTCGTGAGAAGTCCGCGACTGAAACGAGGTCATGGTGGCTGATCCTGAAGTTTTCTGGAGGATCGAGGAGGATTTCGAGAATGAAGAGCCTGGAATCGAAGACGTGTCTGGAGGCAGCGTGTTTCCCGGCCAAGGGGGTGGGTAGAACGTGCGTGTGTTTGGAGGATGCGTTGTGCCACTGATGGTATTGCGATCTGTGATGTTGAACGGAGATGGCACGATACTCGGTGTCAAATAGAAGATGGTCTGATTATTGGTGACGATCACATCATAGACAGGTATGACAGATGCTGTGACAGCGGGTATGGTGATGACCGTTGTCTGCAAGATGTCGACATAGCTTGTCGTGCCTGCCGAAGACGTGAGCCATCCGACCTCCAAGGACGTCGTCAACAGAGGGAAGTTGAAAGTGGTCGGACTCGCTAGTGTCAGAGGTGGCATGACATAGGTGCAAGGTGGAATGCAGTGTACTGTCACAGAGGCAGTAGGCATACTGTATATAGTCGGATCAATGGTGACATAGCCTGAGCCCTCACCAACGTCTTGACCGACATCTTCGCCACCTGTGGACAATGCGAGCCACGCTGCGATCTCACTAGTATACCCATCCTTGGTGGTCGAGTTAAAAAACACTGGGTCGAGTCCACCACGCGGAGACAAGACTTGTATATTGCCCCTAGCACTTGTCAGCGACAACTTGTCAGTCTAGCTGAGCGTTGCGGATAATACTTTGTGAAAATGTTATAGATCCACAGCCCGGATGCAAAATTGGTTTCTATCATGGACAACTAACAGTTGTCCTGGAGAGCGCACCCAAGTTGATTGTTTTGGAAGAACGAATAGAAACCGGCTGAGTAGATGAAGATGTCCTTCGATTCGACCACTCGTAAAGCCCAAGCAGTTCGGCACGAGTCGTCTGCACAATTGTCGAAGGTAGGATCTGACAAGAACTGTCCAATTTTGTACGGTGACAAGGCATTTGGACCGGGCTGGTAGTATGGTGTCTCCGTCTGCATGTGTCCGAGGTAGATGGTAGAAGCATTGGTGAGCTGGTATTGATAGAGCTGAGAGTGTTCACTCGCGGTGCCATACAGCCAAGTAGGACCTTGTGACTCGATCAGAACACCACGACCTGTGTATACCGAGATGTCTGTGAACACGTTGAACGGAATGCCTTCTTGAGTCTCGGAAGCAGCAGCGTTTTGGGCATTGTCAAGGTCGTGATCGGCCGTCTAAACCCAAACGTTCTCGAAGTAGCCGGATGACCTGCTGGTTATGTGAAACAAGAGGGATGCTGCCATGCATGAAGTCTTGACGGAGCCACTCCCTGTAGGGCAGTCCGAAAGCTGAAGATTGGATCCGGCAGCACCACCTACACGGAAGTGACTGTCCCACATCGCGGCTAAAAAATGTCAGCATGAGCTCTTCAACACAGCTCTGAGACAGTGACAAGACACTTACCACTGCCTTGGCTACTCTCGTGTACGTTCCACTCCATCAGTATACAGCCAGCGGTAGGCCCCTTGACAGTGAAGAGCATGTCGGATATCTCGATGACTCCAGAGTCCCCTGTACTACCTACCTGTACCATGACCTTCGGGTTGCTGGCGTCCTGGAAGTACGAGCCTGTACCCATGATCTGACTCCATCCTGAGCCTATGATCTTGCTGCCAACGGGAATCTTGACAGTACCTTGTACCAAGTACACGCCAGCAGGGAAGAATATCACAGAGCCAACATTACCAGAAAGAAGGCTGTTGATCGCATTGGTTTGATCGCCAGTACCGTCGTTGGAGATCCCGCGAGATGTGGCAACGATCGGACTCGCGCCGACATACTGTGGCTTGGAGCGAGTGAAGTAAGCGCCACCTCCATCCAACAGCGCAGCTGGCTTATTGGGAGCGGGATTGACAAAACCAGATGCCTTGCGGCCTGTAGCACCAGGAAGGGTCTGGAACCCACTTGCCTGCGGCATCTAGCGTCAGTGGCGTCGAAGAAGGAAATAAATCTTTTGCCAATGGACGAACCCATGAGTTGAAGTATAATGGACCTGAGGAACCTGCAAGAACCGTAGCTCCACCAGATACTAGCACGACGGATTGTGAGTTCTCGACGAGCAGATTGTCTAAGACAATATTAGGCTGTTGATCACCCTTGGATCCTAGAGTGATCGCATAGGGAACGCCATTGAAGTGAGAGTCGACGACGGATATCGAGCCAGTGCCTTGATTCGTGACACCCGAGTAAGCTGTGCAGTCTATCGCAACGTAGCACGACAACACATATATGTTCTTCCACACAAAGCCCCAGTTCCATTGCTGTTTAATGGCGGTCAGACAAGAAGTGAACTGGAGGTTGTTCGCGGTGAATTGTTGACTACCTGCCAAGAAGCCAATGTTACTGCGAAGAGTATCGCGTAAGCAGAGTGACGCTTGGCTTCGACGACTTCCATACTTACCCTCCAGTGAATGTCAAGTCAGACACGAAGCCTCCGCTCCCGTTCTCCATGTATATTCCAACAGCTGTAGCACTTTGTGAGCCGGAAGACACGGCCATCTTGAAGTCGCAGTAGGTGATGCTGGTCGCCTGACCGACTTGCCAGTGCACGCCAGCAGGAACATAAAGTTGGTCGTTATCGGTATTCGTCCAGTTCTGAGCAGTCATATCGAACACAAAATTCCTGATCTGCCTGTAAAAGTTACTTTGATTGACTGCGAAACAAGGGGAATTAGCTTATGCAGGGGCATAGATCTGAAGAGACTTACTGTACCACTCCGCTCCGTTACCGCCGGGAATGTAGAAATCCGAATCTATCAACGCAATGCCAGTAAAGTTCTGCGATCCCTTGATCACTGGTTTCGACGTCGGATCGCCCACAAACTGCGTGTAGTAGTACTGGATGATTGGCGAGCTGATCAGGTAAGTCCCTGGGGGAAAGTAGACAAGTGCACCCATGGTCGTTGTGGAACCACAGTCTTTCCCGCAGCGTAGCGTCGATGACCCGGCACCATATGTTGCAGCTGCACGATTGATGGCTGCAGTATCATCAGTCACACCGTCGCCCATTGCCCCAAAGTCTTTGACGTTGCGGAAAAATTGGTAGCCAGATGGTGCAAAAGGCATTTAGCCAAAGCTCCCGACGCTGGCAAGCCAGTAGCCTCCACTTGAGCGGGACTCGAGCGAGACGTTCGCACTATGTATGTCATGTAGCATGGTCTCGTTGAGTGGTGAAAGTACTGGGCCGGCCAAGGAACCTTTGTCAGGTGCAGAGCCGAAGTAAACATTCACATTGTCTTTCATGTAAGCCGGAGGATCCTGATTTCTGGTCAGCGAGAATTCTTGCTAGAAGATGACTGGCTCAGCAGACATGAGGCTGTCCTAGGGGCAGAGGGAGCGCGGATCCCACAGGGCCTCGAGGTATCGAAAAAGTTGATTGAGCCATGGAGACGCTGAATGCAGTAAAATATACAGCTACTCGCCAAAGGTGTGCTTCGGCAAACATTGCTGCAAAACTTTGTTCAGGATAGAGCGTAAGTGCTGAAGCAGAAGTCGTCGAAAGCGAGATGCGTTCACTTGTTTCTCAAGGGAGGAAAGAACCGCGCATCTTTATCAGTAAGTCTAAATAGCCGTGATGATAGAGTGTGGGCCATTTTACGGCGTTATTGACCAATCGCTAAAGCAAGGGGGTCCGATCCAAAAACGACCATAGCACGGACTTTCGTCCACTGAGGCTGCAACTTCTAGGGGGACTTATGATTGGATGTTTGAACCGATGATTAGCGACGCCAAAGTGGCCTTTACAGTAGAGCCGATTGGCTTGGTCCAGGTGAACCCAGACACGAACCTGTCTCCACTCATTGGAAGCGACAACCGTCGCGCCTGACGATCAAACTAGCACGTCGCTCAGCCACTAGGGTATCACCTATGAAATTATAGCTGTTTAACGGCATGAGGCTTGCATTGCCGGTGCTTCCGGGGAACCAGCTTCGCCGGTTACGCTAGCCGAGATGTCCAAAGCCTACAGCAGCCTGCTATCCCTCGCTGTATGTCCTGGACTGCTGGTAGATTGCGCCAGATTTGGATGACAATCAGCCAACACTAATCAGTCCCGCGGCTTGCTGAAGACTGTTAGTCCGCAGTCGTCGAAGTCTGCTGCTAGATCTATTACAATAGGACGATCCGGCTGGAAAATTGATGGTAGCGTCCGCTTGGCTCAAACTTCTGCATCATTCTCTCAAGCTGTGCCAACATGTTCTACTACGGTTCTTATCAGCCTGACAAAGTTCAGCATGCACCGCTATTGTGAACTGGTACTAGCCGGAATCATCTAACACCAGCCGTTGCCGATTGGCGTCAGCTGTCAGTAGCTGGCATCGACTGTCGTCAAGTGTCTTGAGAGAGCGGGCACTGATAGGCCAGTGGAAAACCGGAAGTGGCGTAGTCCGGTCCTTCGACAAATTACGTAGTTGTGGTCCAATTTCGGCTGAGTTCCACTCCTGCATATTCAACACACTTGGTCAAACTTCATGTTTGGAGTACAGGGATATATAAGGAGAAGCAGTTCTCAAGTTCTGCTTCGAACCTTTTTGGTCTTAGATCATTTGCTCCACTAAATCTCTTACGACATCCTGCATCCGTCTGGGTCCACAGTGGTTGTGATACCATAATCTTTCTAGTCGGCGTCCTTCGACCCTGAAGTTTCACACGCGAGGATGAGTTTTTCGTTGTTAAGATGTCTCATCGCATCTGTTGCCTTATGGTCCATCGCCTGGGCCAATTTTGGATCATCCGGCATAGCGTACGTGGAACCACTCTCTACATGAGCTCATTAGTCATTAATCAGGTTAATAGTTCACGATCTGAGCACCACCGTCGACAAGAGATTGTTGATGGTGACGGAGAGGTTATATACGACTGCCTACCATCATGCGAACTGGGAAGATGTGGTGTAGCTACGTGCGGCACAAGGAGACGTGACCTAGACCTTATCAGATCTTGGAATCCAGATGTCAGACAGATCAACGCTACTGGAGGACTGAGCAGAAGAGAATGGAAGATTGGTAAAGGAGATTCCATAGTGACGTGCCTGCCGCCTTGCTAACACTTTGTCTACTAGGCTCCAATACTGGCAATCAGTTGATCACCCAACATTCCGGTTGGACGATCGATCAAGTAAACTCATACGTTTTCAATCAAGTAATACATAACTGGGACAATCAATATGGTGTTCTTAGAGGTCTGTTCAGCGGGCATGGTACGTACAAGCAGGACAGACTGTATCCTGGGTGGCAATGATCCCGAGTTCCTTTGTCTAGTGCTGATTCTGGAAACGCAGATGAAAGTGCTGTGAGTGCCGAAGACACTTTTGGATCTAGCGCGTTCCAACTCGGGTCCAATGTACTTCTGGCCCTTTCCTACCAACGAGAATCGGAGCTAATACGTCACAGGGACTCCATGGATGCCAGGTAGTGACCGTTGTCTCGAAACGTGCTGTATGGATGGTAAGTAGATTAGGGAAGATCATTACGGTGTGATACATTTAATAACATTAATACGTTAGGCTCACTTTTGGGAGTCATATACCAATGGCAAACCTAATCGAGTTGAAATTTCTCCTCGTTCTGGGATTACTGCTTTCGATGAGCGGATGATATATTTCTTGACTGGGCGATCAGTAAGTGCAGATCAGTTTCACTAAGGAAGTGACCAACAGTTGTCAGGTCGATCTGGCTACAGCAGACAAAGGCAAATATGACCAGGCCTATCCAGACTATGCGCCCACAAAGAACCACCCTTACTTGACACCGACTGGAGATCCTCTTGATAAGACAAATTTTAATCAGCCTGGAGATGAAACAAAAGTATTCATTATGACACCCCTTTCTGATACATCGACTCTGAAGAAACCATTTCTTAAGTACCAAAGACGGCTCGAGAGGGTTGAACAGGCTTTGATATCATATCTTGGACCAGACATCACCGTCGTCTTTGTGCCGTACAAGCGAATTGAGGATCTAGCTGAGCAGGACACTGATCAGCGAGGATTGGCCCTGTTCCAATACGATCCTAACGCGGATGGACATGGATTGAGACAGTGGCGACTTTTTTACGAAAATCGCGTCGTTGTTGGAAATGTGTCCTAGATACGGTTACTGATTGCCAGACTTACCTGCCATCTTCGTGTATGACATATACATCTGCTCACCTGTTGAGACTGAGGATGATCTTGATCTGTTTTCTGCTTGCCAGTCAGCAATGCCGTTGGAGGCAGGAATTGGAGAGTCACCCGTTTTGCTCTGATGGCATTTCCGCGGGGTCGTTCAGTCATTTCTGCGACTGCTTTCGAATTTCCTGCCCTCGATAGACCTCCGAATATATATCCTGCGGCACGATTAGTTTTCTAGCGTAAACTCCGGTACATGTCTCCTTTTACTCCTCGTTACAACCATCCCCCCTTCCTGATTGATCTGACGTCATCAGCCAAGGCTAGTTCACGTGACTAGACACCTAGGTCATATATTCTCGAGTCGTGCGTCCCACCTGAATTCCTTTTCTGACAATTCTCCCTCTCCTTCTAGCGTTTCGAAGCACTCTTCTCTCTACTTACCCATCGGAGCAATGCTGGACCTGCCGATCGAGATCTTGCAAAACATTGGTGATTTCCTAGACACATCCAGTCTACTCAGCTTTTCAAGCGTGAACCGACAATGTCGACTGGCGTTGTCTGCGCTCCTGTACCGTGACATCGAAATCAGATTTTCCTCGCCAGAAACCCTAGTCTGTGACATTCAGCGCTGCCAAGGAATTCTGGCATCTTCCATAAGCTTCCATCACGTTCAACATCTGCGTGTTGTCGCGGCAGAAATGGAGCCCCTCTCTTATCCGATTGACGATTGTGGTGATCGACCGCTCTACACCTGGAAATTTTGCGGTATAGATGGCTGTAAAACAAGACAGGTGATTGACAACCATGATTGGCAACTTCTGAGTCATTTGATGAAAAGCTTTCCGGCTCTACAAAGGCTTACCTGGGGGTGTCTTGAGCGGATTCCCTCTTGCATTTTGGATATCATCGAGCACAAAGTGCCTAGATGCTGGCTTGATGTTGAAAACTTTCATCTCAGCAGTCTAATCCAGCCATCGAGCGGCGCATTTACCATCGACAGCAGCGATCTTGAAGTTGCGACTGCCCAATGTCTTCGGAGTCTTGTGATGCGATGCGACTCCTCAGATTCATCTGAGTACATCAATCATAACCCACAAGCCATCCTGGATATGGTCTCTGGAGCAGCACCGAATTTGCGAACAGTTCGTCTGCTCTGGCCCCCAGGTGCTAGCACACCGGCCTTCAACCAGTCCGTCATATTGTCAGCAAGAGATCGAGTCTTGGGTGTATCAACTCGAAAACGTCGATCAATGGGCCGTTTGGAGAACTTGGAACTAGTAGAAGGTGGATCGGGCCATGCACTCATGTCTTGGAACACCAAAACCGACTTCAACCTGCTACAGACTCTGAAAGTACACTACCCTCTTGTTACATCGGACTTCAGGTCGCTCAGAGATTGTTGTCGATTCCAATCTTTGCATACGCTAGCTATCAATCTTGGCGTCGAAGACGGAGAAAATGATCCCGAGTCTGATTTAGCAGACGCTGTGGAGGGTTTTCTTTTCTCAATCCCTCCGCTTCGAAGCGTGAAGTTGACTGGAGATTACAGCCAAGTCATTGTGTCATCCGTGCTAGATCACTGCAATCTTTCTCTACAGCATCTTCTTCTGGGACCACTTCATGGAATAGGCACAGGTGTCCCTGCAACTATATCCTTTATCCATAGCATGATTCATAGATGTCCGAATTTAGAGGAACTCGCAATTCCTCTAATGCGGTGTCAAGGAGATGCTAGTGAAGTGGCAGTGTATCGAAGTCTGGCACGACTTCCTGCTCTTCGGAAGTTGCATCTCTCCGTCTATTGCAAGGAGCCTTTCCTTTGGGATCAGCATCGACGGAACCGACTGGCTCTCGACACTCGGATACATGACAGTGAGCCAGGTCTGGAAGATCAATTTCGTCGTGCGGTTGTCGACCTAGCAGTCGATCAAGTGCTTGCGGCACACATCTTTGAGATCATAACTCATGCAAAATCCCAAAGATCAGCACCCTTAGAAAGTCTGGAGATACGTACGAAAGCGCTCAGTATCCTAGGAGGATTCAGCTCGACATCCAAATGGGCGCAGTGGCTACAATACATCAGTCGTTCCTGGACTTGTACCGCGAAGATTCGAGACGATATGCGTGGTCAGTGCCACATCGTTGAATATGATGATGAAGAAAGGCTTGACAGGCAGGATATAGACGAGCTTGGGGAGGTAGATGAGATCCTCAGGACTCGTTCCGGTGGTTTGCTCTCCAAAATCTGGCCAGGGGTCGATAGTAGGAATTGGAGGACGCGATGGCATAGCTTTCCGCTAAGTATCTAATTAGCCTAGTGACTAGTAGGTCTTAACCCAGCTAGTTATCGACTAATCTTTACAGAAATATGGCCCGATAGTCTATATAGGCTATTCTAAACACTACTCCTTACTACCCTATAGTACATAGCTATAGAGCCGTAATACTTATTATATAATTAAGTTAATTATTTATTAATATATATTTACTTAAGTACTTATTTATAGGGTTAAAGTTCTTACTATTACTTCTAGTAAACTAAAATTCTTAATATAATAAGAGAGTTTAAAGATCTATATACTCTTAATAGAATTAATTTAGTTTCTTATTAACCTATAATTAAAAAGTTAATTAGAATTTTTCTTATCTTTCTTTTATCTAGTATAATATACTTACTAGTTATATAGTAGCTTAGTAATTATTATAGTAAGACTTAAGATATATTGTTTTTTTTTAGTAAGCTTCTTATATAGTATACTTAAAATAGTACTTTCTAAGGCTACTTAACCTCTTATAGCTTAATATAGATAAACTAAATATTTAATATATTCTATAGCTATATTATTAAAAAGAGTATTTTACTAACTATAGGTTTAGATTTTCTTTACCTTAATTATTCTAAAATAGTACTATTTAAAAGTATACTACGCCTTATAAGGATTAAATTAAGTATAGTTATAAGGTAAGTATATTTAAGTTTAGAAATAAGTAGTAATAGAGATAGTTAAGTCCTTAAAGATAACTAGTTAAGTATCAGACTATATCTTTAGTAAAGATACTATTAGATAAAACGCTTTAGCTATAACCTACCTATATTTACTAAGATAAAGTAAGACTCTATATAATGTCCTTATGCTCACTCGATGGATCTCGCACGTCACAGTACGCGCACATTGTATGCCCTGTGGCCAGATCCTGACGAACAGGCGAGATTGGACAGCAGATGAAGCGCTTCAGAGGTGAATGCACAGACGTCTCGTGCCGTGTGCAATTATATTTTGTTGCAAAATCCTCTGTGCAAAATGTGCAGTGGGAAATCCTTCGGTCCCCGGGGAGCTTAAGCAGGGCAGCGGCGGCTTCGTATCCGTGCATAGAAGAGGATCGTGGACTGACATTGTTTCTGACAACGTTACTCTGACAGTGGTCTAGAGCGGTAGCGATGTTGCTGATGTCCTTGCCTGCTTTTTTCCTGCTTCTGCTATGTGTCTGCCGCCGACGTCGCGCGTTCGCGAACCATGTATCCAGTTGACGGACCGTCAAATTCGTCTCGCGCTGGAGTCTGGTCTTCTCAGAGTTGGTGGGGTAGGGACGCTCGCGATGCCCCTACATCCACTCTTCCAGAACACAAATCGCAGCAATCGGCAGGCGGTGGTGGTGATTTGTACGATCGGGTAATCTAGTCGCAGTAGGTGGTAATGGCTCCATGACAGGCTGAATCGGGTTGACTGAGTCGCATCGCTCGGTGTTCGGTGGATGTGGTCATTCTCAAGCTTGATCGGAAGCGCATGCACAAGCAGACACGAATGTTGATGGCGGCATTTTGAGGGTCAATATCGATGTTCAATACTGTATCAAATTGGTTTGTCTACGTGTTGTTCAGCCGCCTGAGGGCCTCGACCAGTTATAAACTGCGGCCCTGGGCGGCTTGTGCCATTTGCCGAGGTCCACCCGTTGATGGCACGGCTTTGACTCTAATCAACCCCTCTGCGCTCTTCTCTTCTTCTCCGAATTATGCAAAACAATCATCGATCAAAGTAGTCGCAACCTCGAATCCGCGTCTGAACTCAATGCGCCGAACCGGCTCGGCGTCCAATTCGTCGAGATACGCCTCGAACCCGTCTCTCTCGCTGCGATATTCCACCGAGCCTCTTTGCCGTTTGACGACTCAAAGGCACGAACGGACACTTCCCCTCGACGATGCGCGTATGTAGCAAGCACATCGCGAAGGACATGCCGAGCAAGACTCCCTCGTTTTGACCTGGTTGATAGGAGAGCTTCAGCATGATAGACGAGTCCTTACACTTGCTACGCGCCAACACGTCATACAGGCACGCCTGTCTAGCCCACCCGGCACGATCTGCCAATTCGTGTCCTACAGTGACCAAGTCGACCATGTCAAGTTCACACTCCTCGGCGTCATACACATCTGGAGAACCGCCCGGGGCGGACACAAACCCGTGCTGTGCGCGTTGTATGCCGACAACAGCTGCCATACCAGGTCTGCATGTTTTTGTCTGTAAAAAATTTCGTTATCAGACACTGTGAGGCACGCTTGTTTGTTGTAAGAACGATGAGACTACTCTCTCCTGTTCGCTTGTTCCATTCAAGGACTGACCGGGTCAGACCTGAGCATCAAGTGGTGAGCTCTCATCATGGCTGCCTGTATTTTCATCCAAGAATCGCTTGACTATTATAAGCACCCCACGGCCGCAAGCTCGATGGGCCGCACGAGGTTACCGATGCATCAATGTCAAGAAAGGGATTCAGCTTATGAATGTTTGCAAAGTTTAAGTATCGAGTGGACCAGTGCACCCTGACGTGGGTTGGTGGTAACATGGGTGAGTTGTGTGACAATTGTTTCATGACTTTTCGCTAATTGGTGTGTATATTACTCTGGGAACGTAGCTACCAGGATGACCCTGTCTCAAGAACTGAATGCAACTTAGCTCAATATGACTTGGCAGTAAATCGCATCAGATGCTCTGAACGTTTGCTTGACTTCATTGTTGTTGTCGCGAAAGGAGACTGTAGATATATGCCATGAGGTGTCATTTGGCTAGCAAGTGTCAGATAACTACAATAACACATGGTGCGCTGACCAGCGTTGTGCTATTTCCGGGCTGCAGCAGAACTGATCGCGTCCGGAGTCCACAGCAAGACCCAAGACAAAGTGGAATATCGTGATTCCGTTGACGTTTGCGTCGTAGCAAAACCCACAACTTCTCGCCAAGGTCGTGGGTCGAGAGAGCAAGAACACTCCTTCGAAGTGATGCGAAGCCAATTTCGCTCGGCTCCTCGGTCCCACCTATTAGAGTGCTTAGACTTACTCCATCCCTACTTGAGAAGCGCAGATCACGTAGCATGGCATTGCGCCTAGCGCACGTGCCCTAACGATCAACAGTCAGCTAGACTTACATCCTCGGACCCCGGCAGAACCTTTCACGGCGATGTCCTTCGGCCGTAGTGGTCACAGGCGTTCACGCCGTACTTGACATATCGCGAAGTCTATATTTAGGGTTGAGCCAGGCTCCCGTGGACTAGGCCCGTTATCAGCGTCAAGCATTTCGGTCGACGGCGCACGCTCCACTTGGCATATCGCGAAGTCTATATCTAGGTTGGCGCCGGGCTGTCACTGTCTTGGCCCGAGCCCAAATCTGCCGACGCGGCGTCAAGCATTTCGGCCGACCGCCCACGCCCTACGTGACATGTCACGAAGTCTATCTTAAGATCCGCTCTAGGGTAACGCCGTCTTAGCCCAAAATAAGCATCTATCTGTAGTGTTACGCATTTCGGCTGGCGGCGTATGTCCTATCAAAATTGGTTCCAATGCCTTGTGTCCTGCCCCTGTTTCGGCCGTATAGTCACCAGGCGTGATCCAAGCTATGGAGATTAGGTGAAAGAGAGACGAGCACAAGGCACACCTCGGGTCCTCGAGATTTTGCTTCCAACTTCACGCCACTCTGCTCGAGGCTAGTCTCGCTTTCTGATTGAAGACTGTCCAGCATCTGGACAATGGCCATCCAGCTGCGAGGCTCCACTTACTGGATGCGGTAATCTTGAGGTGGACAACGCAGGTGGATAGTGGTTGGGTAAGGTATCTAGCAAGAACGTGAAGTAATGTACAGACTGAAGTTCAATCGAAGCTTCCAGCCGGAGGCAACGGCTTCATGATAGGCTTGGCAAAGTGGAGATGTCTTGGTTTGCGTGATTCAGACCAAGATGTGTCGCCCTACTTGGCAGGAGCTTATGTAGCCGAGATAAGCTCCAGCAAACGATACAATCCAGACCCTTACGGCCGGGAGCTTCTAAGCCTTTGCAAGCTTTAGCCGAAAGATCGAGCTAGATCCATCGCTCCAAGTGGGTGCACCGGCCAAGCCCAATGCTGAGAATATTGTCGATCCTCAAAAGCACGCTACCGTATCCAAAACTCTGACCAATAATGAAATAACGAGCTCGGGTGGAGACTTGATCCAGTCGTGCCTGATTGTTAGGTTTTCGTTCAAATTGGTCATTCGAGTAGTCCTTGTCTTATCTCGGTCTTCCAGACAGAAACCGCTGTTCAGTCTGTTAGGTCTTCATCCTTCGAGCAGGTTCTACTCGCGAAGTCTTTCCTCCCACCTCCCCTGCTTGTTCCATCTGCCATCATCGTGGCCATGACCCGACTTGCATTCTATGGTGCCCTGGTAGCATTAGGCATATTGTTACCACGCGCCGCTGCTGATGTCGACCCCATTGTCATCAAAGGCTCTAAATTTTTCTATCAGAGCAACGATACTCAGTTGTGAGTTGCACTTATGTTGCAAAATTCATCTCACCATTCTTCTGACAAGCACAAGTTTCATTCGGGGCATTGCTTATCAAGCCGACCTGACGAACGACGACATTGCCACGCCATCGAACACTTCGTATGTCGACCCACTCGCCGATGCAGACAGATGCAAACGCGACATTCCATACCTTAGACAGCTGAACACGAATGTCATACGAGTGTATGCTGTGGATCCAGCACAGAATCATGACTCCTGCATGAGCCAATTAGCAGACGCTGGCATCTATGTGCTGTCTGACTTGGCCGACCCTATCGATTCCATCGACCGAGACTCCCCTGAATGGACAGTAGATCTACTGTCCCGCTATACAAGTGTGATTGATGCTCTTCATGGCTACAACAATATACTTGGCTTTTTCGCCGGCAACGAGGTTTCCCACCTGGCCAATAATACTGCAGCCAGTGCATATGTCAAGGCCGCGGTTCGTGATTCGAAGGCCTACATCAAGTCGTCTAACTACCGTAGTATTGGAGTCGGATACGCTACGAATGACGACCCCGAGATACGCACGAACTTGGCAGACTACTTCAATTGCGGTGCAAATGCTAGCGAATCTATCGACTTCTGGGGTTACAACGTCTACTCATGGTGCGGTGACTCATCCTACGTACAATCGGGTTATCAGAACCGTACGATACAATTCAGCAACTACTCAGTCCCTTCGTTTTTCTCAGAATATGGCTGCAACAAAGTACAGCCTCGTACGTTTTCGGAAGTGGACGCGATCTACGGACCCAACATGACTCAAGTCTGGTCAGGCGGGATCGTCTACATGTACTTTGAAGAAGCGAACGACTACGGGTTGGTCGATGTTTCAGGTGACAATGTCAGCACTCGCCCAGCCTTCTCATACCTCTCAAATCGAATGCAAAGCGCGACACCGACAGGCGTCCTAAAAGCTTCCTACGCCCCTACGAACAGTCCACAGGCTTGCCCGACGGTCAACAGCAACTGGCAGGCAGATGCTTCCCCACTACCTCCTACACCAAACACCGATCGTTGCCAGTGCAAACTGAGCAGCTTATCATGCATCCCGAAGCGCTCGCTCGGAACCACTCAGATGGGAGAACTTTTTGGAACGGTCTGCGGATTGTCCTCGAGTGCGTGTAATGGCATCTCTCACAATGCTACCACCGGCAAATATGGTGCGTACAGCATGTGCAACTCAACAGTCCAACTTGCGGTAGCTCTAGATGCATATTACAGACAGCAAGACTCTCGCTCCAGTGCTTGCAGCTTCGATGGTATGGCTGTCTTGCAGAAGCCTAGTGGTACCTGTTCGTCAGGGCCCACGGGGACTTTAGCTGCATCTATCTCAGCATCTGCTTCGAAGTCAAAGAGCATTGGATCTAGTCACGCGATGCATCACTATAACCAGGAATCTTGTTTGGTCTTTGTGTGGTGCATTACTCTGAGCTTTGGGACCCTATTAGCGCTCGGGGTGCTGTGATTACGAAATCTTGGAAAGCGGTTGTCCTGCCTTCCTATATACTTTGTCCATAATGAGTGTATGCAAGCGTCTGATTTGCTCGCTGAGTGAGGTGGTGATGATCTGCTTTGTAGCTCACTTACTTACGTTATGAGGGAGTGATGATACACCTCACGACTCACTTGTCGAGCTGGTCAGCTGTCAGGGTGACACTGACTATACCACTCGTCAGTTAGCTCACCTGGCAGCCCGGTACGAGACAGAAGGTCCACTGTCCGTCCCAGACGCTTCCGGCCGATGTACTCTGTAGGATCGGACGAGTTAGAGATGACATAGATGCCAGTGTCGGCCATCCAAATCAAACAAGAGTCATGATCCTGCTTGAGATCCGTAGCGTACACTCGTGTGACGTTTGTGTTCAGCTGCCTAAGATACGGAATGTCGCGTCTACACCTGTTCGGATCCGCAAGCGAGTCGACGTATGAAGAATTGGACGGCATGCCAATCCCCTCATTCGTGTGGTCGGCTTGATGCGTGCTACTGCGTATGGAAATCGTGCTTGTTGCAGTGTTTGAAGCATCTTGACATATGGCAGTGAGTTACAGATAAGTACTATTGCTTCGATAAAAGGATTCAGCTTCTCTGTTGACAATATGAGCAGCGATGTACTGGGAGACTGTTCCCAGTATAAACAAGACGCTATATAACGAAAGTCGCGTCATGCTGCTAATGGGCAGCATTGAAAATGTCTGTGAGGCAGTGAACAAGTCGGAAGCTGACAGATCTAGTGCAAAGCGTAGGAGATCCAAAGCATGCTAGACTAGCTACCTATCACTCCTTCATCTGATCCGGTCAGCGGAATGCAGACTGTGGGCACAAGTAGTGCAGAAGGTGAATCTGAGGCCTAAACATTGATTGACCTCTCCCTGATCTCTTACACAGAGTTCGATAGAACAAAGCCAATAACCGAGCTCAATTTCGGGCGGACGATCAGCAGCTTGCCCCTGATCACCCTGTATCTGAAGAACGATATTTATGTTTACCGATGGCCATAACTCATGCAGCACCCGACTCGGAGGATGTAGCATATCCGTCTTGGGAAACGCTCGTACGGACCATCTCCGGCCGTAAGCACGATTGCCATGTCGAGATAACAATCGGCTAAAGTTATTTGCCGAGGCACATAGGCTGCGTATCGGGATCAAGCGCCTGCCAAGTCTGTGGGGCTGCAACAGAGTGTGATGGACTTATACCTCAATTGAACACCAAACTGCTTGTTCACTCAATATCCTCGGATACAAGACTCGACTACTACACGTATACACATGAATCCAAGGGTGCAAGAAGAATTCTCTCAAGTTATTCCTATCTAACCCGACATCCAGTACTTCCCATGAGCCACGCTTAGGAAACACACGTCATTAAGTAGAATAAGATCCCAAAACCCTTTGCATGGACGTCTCGCAGCAGCGTTAGAGTGTGTATCAACATCTGTAGCCAGGGAGTCCGTTGCGACTCGAAGCCAGATATCCCTAAGGCGGCTGACATCCTTACTCGTCCTAATTATATTGGTAGTATGCTCCTAGAGAATTGAGGTCAGCATTATTCATTATATCTTGGTCATTCGTTAACAGTATCATTGCTGCAAGAGCATACGGCATAATTGATGCCACAGTCTGGATCTTCGCTAGAACGAAGGAGGATTAGCTTAGTTTAGAGGGTCAAGGATGAGAAGCCTTACAATGGGATACATCCGCTATCTCCGCGCTCGTGCAGAGGCATTCCGATCGTAGCCCCGAATGCAAAAGGCATGGATGCTAAGATCATGGTAAAGAATTTCATAATGACGACCCGGGGTGAGGAAGTTATTAATGAGTGCTGTCGGTGTTCTAAACTTAGGAGTGATTGATATGATTTCGAATCTTCATGGCCGTCTACGGCCTTTTTATACCCTATTATTCGAGTTGGAAGGTGTTCCGATCATTAATGAGGCCCGATAATAGGACTTTGCCTGCCGCATGACCGTAGATCCTGATTAGCTATCATAATCCAGCGGTTAGTCAAGAATATCGTCGGATTTAAGTTCTCTACGAAGGATTATGGCTTACTTAACACCGTGGCGCGTGATAATCAGGACAATCTTTCAATAGTTTATCAAACTATATTACTACGTTGCAAGGTCTCACCTGATTAAAACCTTATCAAAGTTCCACTACCGTAGAGCGCATTTCTGTATCGCAGTTAGCACATATCATGCTTCGACTGACTGATGCTGGCTCTTGTATGTGCAGCTGTCTACTTTAATATGCTCGCTATGGCACTATAGCTACTAGCTACTACCTTTTTCGCTTAATCGAGAGGTCATACTTGCCCATATTCATTCCGACCCCGCATGGACATTGATTGGGTCGATAGGTCATGATTGAACACAGCGAATCCTTCGCCAATCCTTCGAGCTCTGGCCATCATTGCTTTTTAAGCAGATTAGCCCTCTAGTCTGAACTTATATTGTTAGCGCGATAGATAGTGGATCCGCAAAGGGTAACCCGGCGATGCATATCGAGTTGATTGATGAGACAAAGCTGCGGATTTGTTGCAGAGACCAATAGGAGAGCACAACGACTTTTTGGAGGACGTGGTGAATAGGATCTGCGGTCACGAGCCTTCGGCCGTACAGTAGCTAGGATCATGAGGTAGAGTTTCCTCCTACCCAATGCATCTTCGTGCACTGCCTCGGTCTCTCAAGCCAGACGAAGACACCTATCTCAGGTGTCACTGAAGTGATCTGAAGCACAAGCACCTACTAACTACGTAAGGACGATTCTCCAACATCGTGCCGCTGTGCTCTCACTCAACGTACCATAGTTTGTAAATCCACGGTAGCTCATTATATGGAGGACTAAACGACGTCTGTAGACCACCTGACCGGTTGCTCCTTAAGAGTGATACACAGCTTTAAGCAGATATCGTGTTGGGTTGCGAGCTCTGTGATTCTAAGATACCATGGGAAAGGAGTGATGGCATTTAGGCGAGTTTATTCGTGCTACATCCCTGGTCAGTGCTTTTGATCATTTTCTGTACTCCGGAGGCTCAGAGTAAGCTACGTGAACACAGGATATGTAGTCAACGATGCCATCGGATGCGTGGTCTTCTGAGTTGTGGCTTTTTTGTAGATTGGTACTCGCAACCTAGTTGAGTGCATCGCGATTCGAACTAAACGATCCCTCTTCATCACATTCGTCTGAAGTCCGGTGGTATGAAATGGCTACATTGATCGTCGCTGTAAGATTGTCCTTTAAGCAACTGCATTATGTCTTCCTCGAACCACTGCTTGTTACCCTCGTCGAAGACCTCGACAAGCTTGATTTGATTATGGTAACACTCTTGGGCGTTGAGCTTGGTAGGGTGTTGCTAGTTGAGGTTCTGCTAGAGGTCTGTGATGATCCACTAGATTTCGTGCTTAACGGCACACTCGACCGATTGGGAGAAGTCAACAAGGATGATGAAGTCCGCGTGATGGTCGAACTGCTGGAAGGACTGGATGTAATGGTGATTATCCGGGTAATGGTGACCGGACCAGTTGGCTTGCTAGTCGAGCGCACCGTGGAAGTGATTGTGATATCGGTCTCTGTGAAAGTCCAGGTGAAGGTCAGAATATTGTTTGTGCCTGTCCAGTTCATGGGCATACAAGAGTGAGCCGTCGACGACATTGAAGGATAGGTATACGCTGGTGTTGACGTGATGGTTAGCGGTCCCTCTGTGGTTGTGGTGCTTCGCTTCTGCAGTGCCGCGGCTTCCCTAGATTTGGATCGAAGAGCAACAGCCGCGCGACTGGCTTCTTCCGCCCGCTCGCGCTCAGCTTTTTCTTGCTCGTTCTCGGCTGCACATTGATCATCTCTTCTGTCGAGCAGACCATGGCCCCTGCATGCGATTTTGGACCCATATGCGGACACAATCGCTCTCTCGACACAGCCATCCTTGATGAAGAATGGGAGGTTGAAGGCTGCCTTTGGAAGAGAACCTCCACTAGCCGGCGTCCAAGTCCAACCTGTGAGGGCTCCGCAACCTTTCTCCTCATGATGGAGTGCTGAGCCTTTATCAGAAGCCCAATTTGCGATGTTGTAAACTTTAAAGCTCCAACCCCACCCCTCGTCCCTGGTACCAGTCAGTTCTATAGTTTGGCCTAATAGTCACTTCCAGGATCACCTACCAGAAGTCACAAGAAGCCTGAGCTTGCGGTGTCACCGTCACAACCTCTGTCGTAGTCGTAGTGGTTGGTTCAATCGAGGATGTGATGAGTATAGTTGATGTCACAATTGAGGGTGGTGGGGTGGCTGTTATTGTCGTAGTGGAGTAGACAATACCAGTCACTGTAGACACACGCATAGAAGAGCTGCTTGTGCTCGTTATCACGGTGGATACTGACTTTTGGTTGGCACTTGAACTGGTGATAGATGTGGATCTTCCCCGAGTCGACGTCACTGTTGGCTTTGCGGCCGTCAAGGACCCGACGCTCGTACTGCTGGCTATTGTAGACGCTGGACCTGTGCTGAAAGCTCCAGCAGAACAAGCAAGCTCAGAGGACGATTCATCGTTAGTGTCAGAGGTATTGCAGCCGACCACGTTTCTGCAAGTCGTAGAGCACGTCTGTGTAGCAGTAGTCGAAGGGCCAGTCGACACTATGCAATGCGTACTACAAGAAGAATAAGTAGAGGTTTCGCAATCCTGGTCACTTGGATCCGGCACTGGAGCTAGCGGGTCCTGTGGATCCCACCAATTATAATCTGGCAGTCCATGACAATCGAGCCAGCAAGGATCGCAAGAATCGATGTTATTGTCGCAGTGATGACCGCACCCTAAGGGGTGGGTACAGATTGGATTTGGTGGTCCAAAAGTATGCGTGATCGCTGGGAAGTGTGTGTCATGAGATCTTGTTAGTGTCGGTTCCGACCCCGAGAACGTCGATGGTGATGTAGGGGAAGTCGAAAGACCAGAAGTTGAGGGGCTAATCTTTGTAGACTGCGTTATCAATGACCCAGAAGCGGTAGGTATAGCGCTTCCTGGCCATGGAGGAGGATAAAAAGTACGTGTGTGTGGGGGGTGCGTCGTGCCGCCAATGTTGTTGATGTCTGTGATCACAAAGGGTGAGGGTACAATACTCGGCGTTGGGTAGAAGACAGTCTGGTTGCCAGTGACAGTTACATCATACACGGATATGATAGAGGTCGTGATAGCAGGAATTGTGATGACAGTGGTTTTCAAGCTGCTAAGGTAACTCGTTAAGCCTAATGCAGAAGAAAGGTATCCAACTTCCATGGATGTAGTTAGAAGCGGGAAGTTGAATGTCGTCAGGGTGCCAAGAGTAAGAGGTGGCAGAACGTAGGTACATGGAGGGACGCATTGTACGGTGACCGAAGAAGGAGGTGTACTATAGATGATCGGATCGATAGTGACATAGCCTAAGCCGTCACCCGCAGCTTAACCGATACCTTCGCCGCCTATGGATAATGCGAGCCACGCCGCGATCTTACTGGTATACCCATCCTTAGTCGTTGTGTTGAAGAAGACTAGGTCAGGTCCACCGCGTGGAGAGAGAACTTGAGTATTTCCCCTAGCGCGCGTTAGCAATTCCCTCCCGTGCTAAGCAAGTGTTAAGAAACATACTTAGTAAATATGTTATAGATCCATAGCCCGGATGCGAAGTTGGTCTCAATCATAGACAGTTGACAATTGTCCTCTAATGCGCAACTAAGCTAGTTGTTCTAGAAGAAGGAGTAAAAGCCGGCTAAGTAGATAAAGACATCGCTCGATTCGATCACTCGTAGTGCCTATGCCGTCCGACACGAGTCGTCTACACAATTGTCGAAGGTAGGATCTGACAAGAACTGCCTAATTTTGTACGGTGACAAGGCATTTGGACCGGGCTGGTAGTATGGTGTCTCCGTCTGCATGTGTCCGAGGTAGATGGTAGAAGCATTGGTGAGCTAGTACTGATAGAGCTGAGAGTGTTCACTCGCGGTGCCATACAGCCAAGTAGGACCTTGTGACTCGATCAGAACACCACGACCTGTGTATACCGAGATGTCTGTGAACACGTTAAACGGAATGCCTTCTTGAGTCTCGGAAGCAGTAGCGTTTTGGGCATTGTCAAGGTCGTGATCGGCCGTCTAAACCCAAACGTTCTCGAAGTAGCCGGATGACCTGCTGGTTATGTGAAACAAGAGGGATGCTGCCATGCATGAAGTCTTGACGGAGCCACTCCCTATAGGGCAGTCCGAAAGCTGAAGATTGGATCCGGCAGCACCACCTACACGGAAGTGACTATCCCACATTGCGGCTAGATAATGTCGACATGGGCTTCCCTAGAATGGGTCCGAAACGGTATTAAGACACTTACCGCTTCCTTAACTACTCTCGTGAACATTCCACTCCATTAGTATTCACCTAGCAGTTGGGCCTTCGACAGTGAAGAGCATGTCGGAGATCTCAATGACTCCAGAGTCTCCTGTGTTACCTACCTGTACCATAACCTTAGGATTGCTGGCTTCCTGGAAGTACGAGCCTGTACCCATGATCTGACTCCATCCCGAGCCTATGATCTTAAGTCTAATCAGACAAGAACGATCGTATTCGCGGAAGGGTGGATCCAAGCGGCTACAGTCCCTCTGAAACCTTCCATATAAGACGAATGATCCGCGTGGTCAGGAGAACGAGGTAGGTCCTAGATTGCCACATCTTGAAGAATGTTTTTCCATTTGTTACTAATCCTCCTGGAAACAGCTGTGGTTAGAGCTGTTATGTACGCTGTGACCTGCGACGAGTTTCCTGACGTTTGCAACCACAGATGCTACTCGATCTACGTCGCTGGCTTCCCAGCTACAGTCACATACGACAAACCAACCATGGCGTTGAAGACAACGCGACGCAAACAAGTTGGCGCCATTCCTGACCCGTGCTGTATGCCCAACTTCGCACCCACAGGCTGCAAAGATGAGAACGGCAATCTGGTCGCTTGCTTCAGTCCAGACGAATATCTTTACGCATCGACAGCCGAAGGTGGCTCTAGAGGCCTTGTACGTTGTACTGGAGAATGGGAAAACATCGAGGAAGGTCGCCGCTGGTACTCTGTGCTAAGAACAGGGGTTAGCCAAGGCGGATGCTCCTACCAAAATGGTTGTCAGGTTACTCTTGCTTTCAGTTTCGTTGGACCAGGCTCGTAAGTGTCTCTGTATTGTTGCAGGCATATTAGTTACTGATACCTCAAAGACCCTTCTGCACCACGCATATTGGTCCAAATGATGGATATGAGTGGTCGAAAGCTAGCGGATCATGGATGCTAGGCAGACGGGGTAGGTTTATGGAAGCAGATGAGTGTGTCGCTATCATGCTAACATGCTTAGACGATGATGGCGTGTCGCGTTTGATTCCTCATATGCCAGACCCCTCGAAGTATATCACCCCTGAGCTTCGGCGTGAGTTTCTGCTAGACAATGGCCAACGTATTCTCGTTGGATCGAACGATAGGGGAAGAAGCTGGGACAACGAGCTTGTAATCATGGGAAACAGTACCGCTCGCGTGGTTCGAGAGCTTCATGGAGATGAAAAAGCTTGCCGTGGAGGCCGGAGAATTTCCTCTAAGGCGGAGATATGTTCTCCTGGTCGAACCCAACTTCCGACAATCCACGCTCGCTTTCATGCGCCTGTACAAATTCGATTTTTTGCACTTCTGTCCTCAATACGCCATCGATGGTCTTTGCAGCCCTCTCCTTATCCTCGAGTGTTGTCGTGTGTCCAGCGCCCCATAACGAAAGATGAGTTCCGAGAAGCTCAAAAGTGATGCGAACAGATGAAGATTCACCCAAATCTTGCTCTTCTGGTTCGCCGACAAGTAACATTGTGCCATCGACAAGAGATCTTGCGTCAACGATGGCAAAAGTGTCATACTCAACCCCGCTGCAACCATCCTTCTTTGACAGTCTCTGCAAGATAAGTGAGCACTCGTAAGGATTCTTGTCAGCAAATGGGGCAGAGTATGAATCTGTGTTCCTCCCAATCTCGTCAGGACTCGAGTAGATGCGCTCCAGATCGTCCACGAAAACGAAGTCCGCAACGCCCATTGAATTTCAGAAATCCTCACTAGATTGTAGGATCTGATCTTTCAACTATGAAAGGTCAGGCTAGTTGCTTGTCAAGTGGATCAAAGCTATGTCAAGTTACCTGAGCGCTAAGAGGCACAGCGCAGCAGATGGACCACATTGTTAACGATACAGAGGGTTGCCGTCGTAGGGTGCTCGTAGAAGAGCTAGCTAGCAGTACCGCCTGTTGCAGAGCAAGACCTTAAGCTGAGAACAAAGGGAACAGTGATGACTGGAGAAACAGAAATCTTGTCAGAGGGAGCGAGGAATAAAGAGGAAAAGAAAGCGGAAGGCTTCAGATGCCTTATAAGTGCGTCGCTTGTAAGTCTTGGCATTTCTCTGCAAAACTTCCCCGCACACCTGACTAGGTGCGCGACGCTGAATTTCATAAGCGCTAAACGTGTGAAAAGGACTAGCGCGACGAACATCCCGCGATTATTAGCCGTCAAGCTTTACACTAAAGACGCTACTGACCGCGCGCCGTTAAAGGCTATCTTAACTCGCTCAGCGTAGACTAGTAAGCCGTAATCATTAAAGCAGTCTATAAAGTAGAGCCCACTCTTGCTGTTTTTTCTAATCCGCCTTCTTCGATCATCAAGATCTATCTCTATGCTTAAAGTACTATCTTGGAATGTTTGCCATTTGCTGCGCAATGTTACTTAGCGCTAAGGTACTTTACAACCGAGTCTCTTAGAATATGCACTAAAATTTATGTAGGCTAAGGACAATATTCTGCGATCGAACCAGGACGGCTGCGGTGATGTTACAGAAACAGAGATCGTTTTTGTGGATGACACAATTGGAGCTCATACTTGTCCAAGCAGAATCGGACATGATCTCGATTCTCGAAAGGCCCCTTTCGCAGGCAAAGACCCATACGACTGCAGATCTCTCCTTCAAGCAGTTTGCAAAGAGACTAGCTTAGCGCACATCGACTTCGATCGATTTGCAGTAATAGATGAGAGATCCCTAAGGGACGATACACTACTACTTGTCGTAGAGCCTAAAGAGGAAGACAGGGGCCAGTCAAGATGTATCCGAGCCATCTCCAACCTAGTTGGATCGCGCCTTCAATTATATGCTTCAAAGCAGGTCAACTTACTGAGAGACCAGGAGAGAGCCCGAACGACCCAAGATGGGGTGCTTAGGCTGGAATCGTCAAATTTCCGGCTGCATGTTCCAGATCCGACAGAGTCCGTAAGCCCAGAATTCCGTCGTGAAATTCTTCTGGACAATGGCCAACGTATTCTCTCAGGATCAAGCGATCCAAACAAGAACTGGGACAATGAAATTGTTTTTTTCGGAGGAGGAAGAGCTCCTGCCCGCGTGGTTCGAGAGCTTTTTGGGGATGAGAAAAGCGAGCCATTTAGGCCAAGCAAGCGGACCATGATCGATTAAGTGATCCTTTCATCGCTGGCAATCGACCTAGCTAATAGGACACTTAGGTGACGACCTTTAATGGAGATGTTCTTGATTAGTGCTGTCGGTATCTGAACATAGGAATGATTGATATGATTTTGAAACTTCGTGGCCGTCTACGGCCTTTATATACCTTGTCAATCAAGTTCGAATGTCTTCGAATCATAAACGGGGCGCGATAGTTGGGCTTTGCCTGCCGCATGACCGTCGATCCTGATCAGCTACCATAGTCTCGCGGCTGGTCCAAGACCTCGTTGAATTTGAGTTCTACACGATGGATCATGGCTTGCTTGACGCTATGGCTCGTGACAGTATCAGGACGGTTTTTCGATAGTTACCGAACTATATTACTATGTTCCTAGTTCTTACGTGAACAGAGCCATATCAGAAGTTCACTCCCGTAGAGCGCATTCCTACGCAAAAGGTGACGAAGTCTTCTGGGTTAGCATGATAGTCCAATGCTCTAAGACCGAGCGCTGCAAGTCCTTGTCGGCATATCGAACGGCAGTTAGCCCGCAGATCCTGGGTATGATAGTACGAATAAACTCGTCTGCGTTGCGGGTGTAGTCGTGAGACAACTTCACCTCGAATGCATAGGATTTCTTGCGGTGTAGATGAGGAAGATCATATTTGTCGGCGACCATGAACCTATCAGCTAGCAATGCTAGGGACCTATTGTCAGAGGGAAACACAGGATAGCTGGGTGCGTCGTCGTGAACGTACATTGATTGTACTATTTTACGAATCATCTCGGGGTCATTTGCACCTCCCAAGATTGGATACCTACAACACCTAGCTTGCTGTTCCATGTGTGCTAACGATTTGGCTGTGTTGCTGCGTCCTTCGGTCTGGAGTGGTTAAAATCCTACGATGCGGTGCTAATTGATGCTGACTTTCCGGAATGCGTCCTTTTCGCGCATCGTTATCTATGGTGACTCTCTGGTAATTTGACTATATATGCTGTCTTCGATTCCTAACGAATGTCCGGCTTAGTTGGCTTTGACGGCTTCCTCGGTGTTGGCTTCTTTGGCGTATGCTGCTTCGTCCTTTCGTTTCTCTTTGCCGCTGCCGAATGCGGTGTCTAATGTTTGCCTAATGCTGTCATCTTGGGCTAACTGACAGTGGATCGCTGGATATACTTCTCGCCATGCGGCCAATCTAATGCGTGCACCCATGCCGTGTTGTGTTACTTCTTGCAATAACTGACGGCATCTGTCTATGCTGTACACTCCATCTAGGTTGCTAGGCGTGAATACTGGCTTTCGGGGTGTGTCATCTTCTGCACTCTCCTATTCCTTAACGAAAACTTTGCTATTATTGTCGCTGTCGGTGTCGTGATTGGGGTTGTCGCTATCGTGGTCTTAGTCATCGCTCGCGTCCTCTATGTGTAACTTGGCGTCGCTCGCTCTTCCTTAGCCTCGATCTCGTCCTAATATTTGTCTTCCTGGTCTCGCCATTCCATTGCTCCTTAGGCTTTAGAACCCAAATAAACGCTCGGTACTCTTTCTGGTAAAATACTATATTCTGCAACGCCCTAACGAATGGCTGGACTAACCATGAATAATACACGACCAATTCTAACACCTCCTTTAGCGCGTATCTATGGATAACTTTGACCCTAGTCTTGTTATATGATGTGACGAATGACACCAATCCGTTGTTAACAAACACTCCTTAGTACCCGCAGTCATCTACACCGTTCTCGTATGCTACGGTAACACCTTCCGTACCACGGGCGGGGGCACTAGCCGTCAAATGGACTAAAACGAACAACTATTCTTTAAACTTCTCGACCGCCTTAAAATATTTGCCAATGCCGGCTTCGTTCCATGGAATGGCAGTGTCGCTATCGTCAGCTTTGCTAACGGTTAATGCATCCGTCGTACGTACGAATTGCTTAATTAACTTGTCGTCGTCCATCACCTAGTCTAACAACCAATTCTTACTATCTACACTCCACTTGTTAATGGTACACTCTAAAAAATTGAATTTGTCTGACCCCGTATCGCTTGGATTGTCTTTAATGTCGTCTATGTTCAACTTGGGCAATTGGCTTCCTAATCCTAATAGTGGTCGGCCGTAGTGGTCTATGTCTAACATGATCACCTTTTATAACAATCGGATCCTTATGCTATTATATAACCCTTACACGGTGGATCTTAAATCTGCTAATTAGGATAATGCCTCGCTAACGGTGATCTCGTTCCCCTACCATTCGACACTGCCTAGTGCGTTAGTGGTGTATCTAATGCGTATACCCGACGTTCTAATATGCGACATCCGATCTATTAGCGTAGGCTTATAATCCTTATTAGCTAACATTATGAACTTGTTACTTATCTCCTAGACCTGATTAAAAATGCTCGGTACGGCCTACCTAGCTTAGGCTTCGCTTATTAACTCTACTCTCATTAATCGTTTCACTATAGGATTTCTATTGTCGTATGCCTTATAAACGACCATAGATCGCGAAACGGTGTTAATAGCGGATAATATCGGCGTGTATGTCGTAGCTAGCTTCTATCCCTTATTCCGTTCGTTAATGGCTAATACTATTAATACGCTAATAATGCCATTAGTGTACTCGCTATCTCTAATGTCGTAGTCTAACATGGCTAACTAAAATGCTATGCACGCGTACTCGATTTACTTCGCTATGTCTTCCTACTATGTGTTAGTAGGCGTATCTTCTAACACCTAGTTACGGCATAATTGCTTTAAAAACAATAACGCGTCGGTCTAGGCCTCTGTTAACACGTGCTATAGTCGGATTTCTCTATGTTAGGTACGCCACAAAAAACACGATACTATAATCCACTACTCGCTATACTTACGAATCGTCTTTATACTATAGTTGCTTTTAAACTTCCTCTCGGGTCTAGTGCTACTAGCATGCTTTTAGTTAATTAAAAATAATGCGGCCCTTCCGACGACGTGCTGCTTATAACACTATAACGATCGTCTAATTAATCGCTTTATGCCTACGCACGCCCGTTATAACCCGAAATCGCTATTAGGCAAATGGTCGTCCTCTTACTATAGCCTAGTTTGCCTAGACTAGCGTCTTAACAATGCTTTAATTAGGGTTATATCCATAATCATTCGTTCCTAGTCCTAGCTATGTAAAACTGTCGCATAATTTAACGCTCTAATAAACGGGTTAGTTATAAATCGGCTATTATCGTCCTAGATGGTGTCGCGGTTTGCTACTCTCTCTTCTACTTTAGCTACTAACTTTGCTTACATCGTTATATAAACTCTTTCCTTCTATATGCTTTAGCTAGTCGGTATTAACTAGACCGGATGTGCTGGTTTAACTATAAAATACTTTTGCTACGCTTACTATGGAAAAAACACTTAACATACTTAACCCTCGACCTATAAACGATTAGGTGTCTACTTAGACTTCTTCTACATATTACCTCCTCGCTTTTGCTAATTTACCTAATCGTATGCGCGCTAATAATGATCTTACATGCCTTTAATCGTACGGCATATGTATCCGCATTTACCGTTAGATTTATTGCCTAACACGTAACGCAATCCGTTATGGTATAATGGGAATCCGGTTACTAGTAGTGAATCTGGCGCTAGGTATATAACCTCTGTCTTATCTTATGCGACGTCTTACACGTTTTCCTTTACGTATCGCGCGATTTTCCGGCGCTTAGGGGCCTCTACTGTTTCGGCGTGCTTGTAACGTAAATGGCCCTTAATACGCGATGGGTTAATTACGTCGTGACACCGGATGCACTATATAATCTTATACTTGGCTTATATAACGAATAACTCGTAGAAACGCTACTCTATGCTTACATTTAGTCGATCTATAGTGATAACAATATGACTCCCCTCGCGGTACTAATATGCCTTAAAAATGTCTAAACCATGTAACTCTAGGTGGACGCGACGCGTGTTTGGTACGCGTATAGATAGGGTTTGGCTTACCTTTAGACCCTTAACTAGGGTTATATGGCGCTTTCCCTAGGCGGAATGCTATCTAGACGTCGCCCACTCCACGAACATTAACTATCTTACTACGTATGGCTCTCCCTTTCTACATGCTTTTTACTAAAACTAAATATACTAAATTACGCATCAAAATTCGTTTTCTTAATCTGTGATTTTTTCGACTCGAATTAATGGTAGTATAAGCAAACGAATCGACATCAAAATCTCAAACGAATCGACTCTTACGCAAAATTGCTTGGCATGGATTTGTATAGCACTTTCAAACGAATCGACTCGATTAAAAACGACACCTTACAACTTATTGTGAGGATATACGAATTTGAAGCAGCCGAATCGAAGAACTACACGAGGAGACGTCGTTGCAACGGTCGCGACTGCGATGGACAGCGACGCCAGCTATGGGGATGCGGGGGAAGCTTTAAGCTTCGGCCTTGGCACCCTAACGGGCGTAGGTATGGCCAAAAAGACGAGGGCAGTACGAAGAGGCTCGAAAAGGATGAGGGAGGAAACAGAGGCGGACGAAATCCGAGTTAGAGACCCAGCTGTGTTCAACAGCGCGGGCAGGATCAGCAACGCAGAGCTACTGCGAGCAATCGTGAATGAGTTCAACAAGGCCCAGGCCGAGCAGGACGCAAAATACAACGTCGCAATCCAGGAAATCAAGAACGCACACATCAACCAGATTAGAGACATCACCCAGAAAATCAACGAAAAACACCACGAAGAAACCGACAAAGCTAACAAAAAACACCATGAAGAAACCGAGAAAATCAACAAAAGACACCAAGATGAAATCAAGAAAATCACCGAAAAACACCAGAATGAACACCAGAAATTCTCGAAACAGGTTCAAGAGCTCCAGAAGCAGTTGGAGGAGAGCAAGATCAGAGAAATAAGAGAGGCAATGCAGAGGATGGAGGAACAGCTAACTCAGTTGTCGATCGCCGGATCAGGCAGCCCTACTACCGTAACCACTAATCCAGCATCGCCCCAGCCGCGCCAGACGT